GGTTTTAGAATGCATTATATATAGAAAAGTAAAAGTAGTGTAATATTTTTTTTATAAAAAATTATAACCTTTACTAATTTTAGTATGTATTTAGGAGTTAATCTCTTTTAACTATATTATAAAGCTACTACCTTTAAAAGAACTTATAATTAAGAATATTTGGGATATAATCTTTATAATTGTTAATTAATTTATAAAAATAGTATATTTTATTTTATAAAAAAAAAGCAGTACTGCTAAAGATTTAATATATTAGTTTATTAGATATATTTACGTTAACTATAGATTACTAAATAAGATTATTTTAAATAAAGAAATAATATTTACCTTTAAGTTCTAGTAATTATTTATAATATAACTAAAATTAAATTATAAATTTAATATTATTTATTATTTATAAATAGATAAATAGATAAAAAGAATTAACTAAATTATTAAAATATATTTAAAAAATTATATTAACTTTAATTAAGATAACTGGGTTAAACTTTTACCTATTGTATAAATCTCCTATAATAGTATATTAGTAGAATTAATAGGATATTTACTGTTTTACGTAAACTATAGATTTAAGCTAAACGTTTATAAACTATTAAAAAAAGGAGAAAATATATAAAAAGCTATTATTATAGTTAATAATATTAAAAAACTATATAATAAACTATGGATATAGCTTAAATTTATATAAAAAAAAATAAGTAAGTTTATTAATATATAAAAGATTAAAAAATTAACTTTTTAAAAAGGAAATATAGTTTACCTATTTTAATACTTTAGAAATAAAGATATAGTAAATATTAAAATAAATCGGCTAAGCGATAAGTTTAATTTTAAAAAACTTAGATTATATAGAATCTTAAAGAAAATCGGTATTATTAACTATAAACTTAATTTTTTAATATAAAAAGGGAAAAAGGGATAATTAATATACTTAATATTTTATATTTTATTATTAAAAAAAGTATTAGTAAATAAAAAAATAAGTAAGGTTATTAAAGATGAAATTATTATTAAAGGTAAAGAACTTAAATATAACGTTAAAAAATTTACTATAATAAAATTTAACGAAAAAACCTAATAATTTAAATATTTAGTAAAATAGAAAAATTATAATAATATTAAAAATATATAGAAATTTATTAAATATTTTAAAAACTTAAAGAAGCTTTTTGACGGTTTTTATTAGAAGCTAAACTTAAAAAGGTTAATAAAGAAGGATTAAAATTAAAATTCTTTTAGTTAACAGCGTTAACTGCAGAATTTAAGATTATAGGATTAGTTAAATTAGGTAATAACGTTATAGCTTAACGAGCGGCCTTTACTTTTTACGCCCTGCGCTTTTTACGTTTAATTTATTTTAACTCCTTTAAATTGTTAATATTATAAATAACTATTTATTTTATTTTTTTAAACTACTTATGCTTTTAAATATAAAAATACTTTATTTAGGTATTAGCCTTAAGCTATATTTTTTTAGTATTTTTTAACTTTTTATTTAATTTTAAATAATAAAATGTAACTTTATATATTTATTATAGGGTAAAACTAAATACTTTATAATATAATTTTTAATTTTATATATAAGATAAATAATAATAAAAATCTTTTTTAAAAGTAATATATTTATAGCTTTGCTTTTTATAGTAAATATATAATTTTATAATAAAGATAGAATTCTTTAGTATAGTATTAATAAGATTTTTATATTTTTTTTTCTTCTACTTAAAAACGCTATTATCGTTACGCTTTTATTTATAATCAGTTATAATAAAAAAATAAAAAACTAAAAAATAAAAAAAAAGGTTAGGTAATACTTACTAAAAGATAGGAGTGGATATTTATACACTACCTTAATTAAGTCTTAAGGATAAGACTACCGAGAGGGGAGAATTATATTACAACCTAACTCTTATAGTTGCAATAATAGGCTTATAGGGTAGGCGGAACTGGATAAACTAAGGACCAATAGGCTAATTAAGGACATCGCCGCCTCGATTAAGAAAACTGGGAAAACTAGCTTTTTAAAATAATCCAGGAAAGCTGGGAAAGCCAGCTTTCCACCGCAATCCAGAACACACAACTGGATATATAAATTTACGTTCTTACACTCATTTAAATAGCTTAAATAGCCAGTTGTTAATATAGCAATTAGATTAGATTTAGCTATTATATTTATTAGCTATGTAATATTGATAAGATAACGCCCGTAACCGACCTGACCGCTCCGCTAACATAAACCTAGAGCCTAGAGGTTTGTCCCTTGGGAACAGCTAACCTATACTACATATAGGACCGGTTCGTCACATCTATAGATATAGGAGGGAAGCTTATATATACGGCTATTATTCCTAGTATATGTTCACCTACTCCATGAATGTCTGATTTTCAGAATAGAATTAAGAGTAGCGTGTGCTATACGTGCAGCCCATGTCGTACAGCCCTATATAGCCACCAAGTGAAATCTGAGACATTTCCAGGTCGGGGTTGCGTAATGCAAACTTCCATGCCAATATGAACGACAGCGGCCTATGGACTTGCAACTGTAGTGCGCCCTGGATTTTTGACTGCAAGGCCGATTACGTGGGGTAGGAACTGGGATCTCGGTAACGAGACCCATGCCGATTCGTGATTGCCGATGGGGAGCCTGGACCTGTTGACAATAGAGTAGCTGCCATATTTAGAAGATAACTCTGAGGCCGCCGTGCTGCCGATTCAAATCTCCCAGCCCGCTGGCATGGTGTCATACGCCCACTACGTGCTGATAGCAGTGTCGATGGTCTGCCGTCGGGAACGAGTTGACTAGACGTGCATCATGGCTGCCCGTCACGGCGTATGTTTTGCCCAGAGCCCACATATCCGTGTACGCGTCGTTGAGGTCATTGGTCATTGGGTGTGTGGTGCAAGGTCGCCGGTTTAGGGGTCATAGATGGAAAATAAGAGGTGTTGACGTCGGGCCATTGGCACAGGTCGAAGACAGTCAGGCAGAATAGGGTCGAAGTTTGGTTCCAATGGTCATCTGGCTGAGGTCGTGTGCTAAAAATAGGCCCTTCAAGACCTATCTCTCACGAGCTGGCAAATACTAGATTGAGTAATGGTCAGCCAGAGGGAATCAAACCTCCGCAGGCAACAATAGGACAACATAACAGACATCGTCATCTTCGGCTCCCTGTAAGACATCGATTAGGCATCTATAGTCTTGTATTTTCAGCGGTACCGTTGCGGTGTTCACATACCAGCGCATGGCAAATCTCCAAGTGGCATCCACAAAATTACATATTGTTGTCCAAGTGAGCCAAAATTTAAGAACGTCAAGAAAAGCCTATAGGATCCAGTGGTAGATCAGTTGGGAGAATTCTATTAACAGAATGAGTATTGGAAACCTTACTCACCTCGCAAGAACTGCACTCCGTGAGATTAATGCCGGATAGAATCTCTGAGAGTAGGCTCCTGTTTTCAAGCTTCTGTAGCGCAACCTTTGCCTTCCCCTAACAGGTAATGGAATTGTTCATGATATCATGAATCATAAAGGCAGTCGATAATACAGGCAGCGACGATAGTGCGTCTAGAAGCATGGCTATTCGTATGGTTTCTTTTGTTTGGCGAAGAGAGTAAATGCTCGACCAACAGCAAAGAGGTAAGAAGGCCAGAAGATGGTGGCAGCGGCTGATATCCTGATAATCATAACGTAAACGCATGTACATGTAATCTAGTGTTAGGACCCGATATCACTGTCTATCCTTGTGTGACAAGGTAAGAGCCAAATTTGGTCCTCATTGGTGTATAACTTGTAGAGGCTTGCTTACCCCTCCACCGAATTCCTTATGACCGAAAAACTTAGCCTCGGCATGCCCCCGTAACAGCTGCTTAGACGGGATAGAGCGTCATTCCGTGCGTGATCCAATCAGTGCGGCTATACAACCTTCTAACGGCTGGGATGAATGGGTTGTGGGCAATATAACCCTCCGCTCACCAGCACCAGACACTTGTCGTGGCATGGGCTCGACAGTTATAGCCCCGAGCTCTACACAGCCCAGTACGGCTTAGATCTACCACTCAACCGAGACACATGATCTTATAACATCAATCTTTCGAATAACGTCTTCAGAATAGGGCATATTTGATCATAAAAGACGAACCTTGAAGCCAGATCACCTCCAGCATGCTGTCCAGCGCAGTCGAGTCGTCCGCCCCAAGTAAGCTCAGTGCCCATGAGGGCACTAATCTGAAATGGAAAGCCACAACCTGCTTGATGTATACGTCACCAAATTTCGCCCGAAATTTGTTTGCCAATCAAGCAACTTTCTTCCCTGAGTATAAGTGGCTTCGCCGTTCGAACGACTGTCAGAATTAGTCAGTTACTTCTTACTCAGAGGCTGGTATCGGCTCCGACCATGCTTTTTAGATAAACTTAATCAATTATTGTCACCAGTTTGTTGCAAACATGTGCTCTTGATTTCTTACGGTATAACTCATCCATCGAACTATCCACCTATGGGACACAATCACCAACATCATTCTAATCTTCATTCAGTATATGTGCTTCCATCTCTCAAAATCACGCAATCAACTATGCGCAAGCTTGTCTGGGTATTATCACCTCTTTCGTTTTTGTTGGCAGCCTTGAGATAATTTCCTACATTATTACTTCTGAGACTTAGTCAGTCCGTCCTCGCGTGTTAGTTGCTAAAGTCGATCGCGCGGCTTGTTATGTCGCTAAATTTCCCATGATTTATCTAACTTTCGCAGCTTGTTAACCCTACGGAATGTAAAAAAGCGCGGTTATATTTGGGGAGCAACTGCTTGCGTCTACTGACCAATTACCTGCTTCTTTTACGTCGAACTTATTTACTGCATGTATCGCACAAGTGAAATGTTGTTCAATCAATGCCTCCCGGCCGGGAAGTTCAACTCTGCTGTAATTGGATTTTCAGATAAGGAGTATTAGTAGGATGAATATTGAAACGTGCGGTAAAATTTTAATAGTTATTCTAATGTACCATTTATTCCTCATCGTGATACCGGAATACATGTGTAGAAATTTTGTTCCCTTTTGAATCGAATCTCTCAGGGAAGATGGTATATAAGCCATCAGCATCCCTAGGCTCGTAATCAAGGCTATTACTAGCTTGAATAAGCACATCCAGCCCATAGGTCTCCTTGAGCCAAAAAGCAACCATATCCGTTGCAGCACATGCTCCCGAACCGGTCCAGATGTTTCCGTCAATAATCCACTTCTTCTCCCTAGTCCAGTTGACCTTTGGCCAACGCTTTCGTACCCAATTGTACTCGACGTTGTTAACCGTTGCCCTTTTCCCATCCAAAACTCCTGTAGACGCCACGACGCTGGCTCCCGTGCACGTTGACCAAAGCAGCTTTCCAGATGCCACGTGTCTGCGGATCAATTCAGCGTGCTTTGGGTTTAGTTCAAAGTTGCCTAGGTAGGGACCAGGAACAAGAAGAATGTCAACTTCTGGACATTCATCAACGGTGGTTGTAGGCACAATCATTACGTTGCTTGACCCAAGGAGTACTGGGTCTCTGTTAACGCCTATTTGATGAAATATAAACTGCGGTGCTCGAGAAATGATTTCTTCATCGATTGGCCCATATTTCGCAACTGCTTGCAAGGCGGATTTGTTTGCAGAACAAAGGAGATCCGTCGGACCTGCGCTGTCGACGACTTGATAAGCGTAGGCAAGGGTGCCTACGTGAATAGTAGCCATTTGGTAAGACTTTTAAACAGTTTTTGGAAGAAGAATGAAGGAGGTGAACTGGTGGTCAATGAATATATTATTGTTGCTTGAAGTTGATTGCTGTGTTCTAGGAGCCGCAGGAAGGGTTCCTTTAATAGGGCATTTGTTTCAAGAGATTAAAATTAAATATGGGGAAGAGCCGCAGCGTATGAATTCAATAACGCGAAAAATATTACTAGGCTGTTTCTCAATCGCTCGTATTTCCTGTTGGGCATTCCGTTGATAGAAGACTTATTCTCTATATCCGTTTTCGCCCGGATGTAGCAAGAGGATGGAGACCTTAGCCCAATCGATCAACAGGTTCTTATATATTTATATATTATTCCCAAGAGCGGTGCTTACAAATAGATCTGGCCCCAATCACTATACTACATCCGAGAAGGTCCAGTGACTATCATCTATTAATGATGAACTGGGGTTGTTCAATTCTAGGCTTTCACTCACATTTCATAAAATTATTAATGCGAATCACATATCAAGCAACAAATAAGTCTGTTCTAGTAGAATTATATCCAACGCCGCAGGCCGTGGGTAGCTCAGTAGCCATTTTCCCATCCCCGCTGCGTTTCAGCCTGGCAATAACGGTGACTTGGTAAAATTAGGGAGCGCAATAAGAATTCTATCGCTGAAGTATTCCATAAATGAGTTGACGGAGTACTTGATTCTCAGTATCAGAATTGCAGCAATCCTTATCTTTAATTTAGTATAGACCCTCGCTGTCCGATTGTGCCGACTGAGATTAAATTTAATGAGCTTTGCCTCTGAGGCCTGCTTTGGGGAGTCCAGCGAACCACAAACTAACCGCAAAAGATACTACAATGCAACTACGACATATAAGATTGTTTCATAAGCTACTTTTTAGCACTTGAATATTAGTTTCTCACTAAATTATTGCACCGGCGTTGCGTCAGGTTTAGATCAAACGAGTCGTCAAGTATAAAAATCCTCATATGAGAATAAGGGCCCAGAGTCTCTTAGGGTTTGATGGAGAATCCCTGCCAAGATGGAACATTTATCGCTGTGTTGGTAAGCCATTGGCTATAGGAGTTTCGTGTTCCGAGGTTATACGAATAGAAGGCGAGATATACGAGAGAAATGCGAAGTATAATACGAGGCGGCCGCGGCTCGTCAAGTGGATCTCCAACAAAACAAGGGCGTCCCCACATCCCTAGTCCGAGAGGTCAACCAAACAATGCGATACTAGATGCGCATACACTTTCAATATGTTGTTTTTTTAACGTCACCTATTTTACGCCGAAAAACATCTTGCCAAGGTTTAAAGAAAAGAAAAAAAGAAAAGAAAAAAGGGGTAAAGGAAATAAATAGTATTAGCACTGAAGGCGGGCTTTATCGCCAGATATCAAGTTATGATCACTCCTTGTTTACAATTTATATATCGGCTGATTTCGGCGCAACCACACCATAATACTACAAGGTCCATCCAGACCAGAATCACAACAACAGTTTAAAATGGGTGTTTCTCTCTATATATCTGCGGGGCTATGGTTGGCTATGTGTAACCGGAGGAGAGTATAGCTGAAATTTTAACAGAATGTCTGCATTTCATTAATCTGACCTACAATATCACACCAATAGCAATACTCCACGCAGCCGGCCAGCCAGGCGCAAGACGGTACATTTTCCGAGGAAGACGCGACACGCCGAACCGGTTCGTATTTTAAACTCGTAACAGACTACTTCATATTTTTTTAAATACGAATCATGAAAATGCCCTCGGATCCCTGGATCGGGAATTCAGATCTCAGTTATCTGGGGCAAATCAAGCTTCATCAGCACTTGCTAGGTTTAGTCTCGGTAACCAGACATAATTACCTAGTTGGATATTATGATGAAAACGCTCGATCTCAGCTACCAAATTTTAGCGAGAAAACTACTTTTAGGATTCTTCCTCCGTTAGGCAGTTAAAAATAGTATAGTGCACCACGCTTTCCCTTTTAAATCTTTTCCCCCTGTTTGTCATATCTGAACATGCTTTTACATTTTGCAGTAAGAGTACATTTATAAATAATAAACAAAGTGTATACGCCAATTGCCTGCAAGACCTGGCTTTCTCCTTCACTCGTACTTTCTTTTCTCTCTGATAGATTCTTGAGACTCGTTGAAGGCTAAAATGCCAACTCTTGAAACACATAATGGCTATCCGCTGTGGCATTACATTCCCAATCGACCAGCGGCCATTGTCTTTACATCTCTTTTCGTGATCACGACCGCTTACCAAGCATTTTTAATGTTCAAGCATCGTTTATGGTTCTGTATCCCTTTCCTTATAGGTGGCATTTGTGAGTTGGCCTTCTCTTCACGCCAAGTACTATTCTCATATAAGCCTCTGCAGTCGAAGTCATTGGTTATATTGGACGGATTATAGCATACGATGAAACCGGAGAGCTCATTCCCTACATTCTACAATCTGTCTTCCTTCTTCTCGCGCCCATTCTCTTCGCTGCGTCGCTGTATATGACGCTCAGCCGCGTTATTATAGTTGTTTCCGGAGCACAATATTCGCTAGTCTCTCCCCAGTGGCTCGCCCGTATCTTCGTCACTTCCGATGTTATTAGTTTCATGATTCAAGGAGGTGGTGCGGGTATCCTTGTACAGGGTGGCTCCGCCAGCAAGGCGCAGATCGGCCAGAGAATTATTGTTGGCGGCCTTGTCTTCCAGCTCGTCGCGTTTGCGGTCTTCGGCCTAAATACCCTATGGTTTCATTTTCGCTATCGCAAGCACGGCCGCACCGACAGCATCCATGATATCCCCTGGCAAGGCATTTTGGTCATGCTTTACCTAACATCCAGTTTCATCATGACCCGGAACATTTCTCGCGCGATCCAATACGCCATGGGCCAGGATGGTTATCTGCTCACCCATGAGTGGACTGTATATGTTATGGATGGCATGCTCATGTTTTTAACCATGCTCCATTTTACTTGGAAATATCCTAGCAAGTTGCTCAAGCCTAAGACTGCAGATTTAGGCTTGGATATGTTGTCATATCAGGAGGGAAGTAGTCATAAATAGGATGTTCGTTATGAAGCTTAGGGTTCTACGTGTCTTTACCTATTTTATTGACTAGACACCGTTAAGAGCACTTATTGGGTTTCTATACGACTGCTGCTTGGATTAGTATAACAAGTTACAACTTGCAAACTCTTTATGGAAATTGTATTGCGTTCAACAGAAGTATAGATTAAGCAATTAGTTCTAGACTTTATAGTAGCAAAAAAACACAAATGGGTCTACTCTGGAACATCTTCAATCTCTGATAGGCTGTGATGGATTTTCCATTCTACCTAGTATGTGCCTCTTCTTTGTTGCATATGTATCACAGATTTTAATACTAGTTGCAAATTTATGACATAAGTTATTGCGAAGTTTTACAACATACCGGACTACTCGCTCCGCCAGCATTTTGCCTACATATATCCAGTCATACATGTATATATGTATAAATACGTATGGATTCGGTGATGGTATTGTTGTCTCTACTAGCTGCGAGGCCTCTAAGTAACCTTTGATGATTTGCAGCGTCTCTTGAGCGGGAGGCGTGCTTGCTTACCTAGATGTATGCAAGGTTTTTAGTCGCCCACTTGCTCAGCGTTGTGTCTACAGCAGGGGTTGGGGTTTTGTCCAATATACTCATACCCATGTGCTCCGCATTTGCAAGCCATTATCCCAACCGAGCCAATGAAGTCGAGCAGAATACGGGCCAATAGCTTAATGAACGAACTTAGTCTTCTGGGCACTACTTGTGGCATCGGCACATCTGTGGGGTTCCTTTAACCATTTCTTGTTGCCAGCGAAATATGAGAAGCTAGCTAGATACGAGACTTTTCCGAGTAATGCGAGCTTGTTTCGGTACTAGGTACATTTGTGAGCGCTATGCTCGCCACTACTAACCCGAGCTGAGATTACCTATACGCTGGAGATGGGTCTCACCGTATTGCATGATTGGGATGCGTTGGCTGGACCCTCACATATAGGACCTGGTGCGACAGTCCTGTTCGCCAATGGCAAAGACCAATCACAGTGAAAGGGGTTAGAATATCGAGAGACTTCTTCAAACAGTCCAATGGCTCTTTAAAAACTATTAAACTACTAAGACTTCGCAACAAATCACAAGTTAGTAAAAATACTCTCGCTCTTCTTCTTGCAAGGTTATAGTTTCATAATATTTGCATTCACTCTCTGTATCTTATTTCTTTGCTCTATAATTTGGGAAAGAAAACACTTAAGACTTGGGTTACGACGGACGCATCTAATAATGTCATCAACAGCACCAACCGACTCCAGTTCTACTGGCGGTTTTGCTTTGTATCACTACTATCCCAACAAGGGAGCTGCAGGCGCCTTTGTCGCCCTCTTCACCTTATCTGCTCTCGCACACCTATACAAGCTAGTACGACATAGAGTGTGGTACTTCATTCCATTTATTACTGGATTGATATGTATGCCCTCTATTAAAATCCTCAGATAATCCTATATTCGCGGTGTTGCTAACAGTGATTGCAGTCGAGGCGGTCGGCTACTTGGGAAGGAATATTTCTGCGGGACAGTCACCTAATTGGACGACAGGCCCATATATCCTTCAAAGTTTGACGTTGCTTCTTGGACCTACACTGCTTGCTGCATCCATTTACATGACGCTCGGCCGCCTGATTCGTCTGCTACATGCCGACGCGTACTCGCTCATCAGGACGACGTGGCTGACCAAGGTCTTCCTTTTTGGTGATGTGTCTTCTTTCTTCATACAGTCCGCAGGTATATTACACACTTCAAAAGTAGCGGAGAAGCAACGCTCCCATTTTCGACGAAGAATAGACGACTGATTGCGATGTGGATGCAGGAGGTGGCATGCTCGCCAACGCCAAAATGAAGTCCACGATAGACTTGGGCGAGAACATTATCACAGGTGGTCTCATATTTCAAGTCGTATTCTTCGGCTTTTTCATGGTCGTTACCTGCGTCTTCCACCGGCGTATCATGCGCGCGCCCACCCCGACCTCGCTAACCATTGCCGTTCCATGGCAGCGTTTCTTCTACGTTCTGTACGCCGCTAGCATCTTGATCATGGTACGATCCGTATTTCGTATCGCCGAGTTCGCCGGCGGGTTCTCTGGTCCCCTGCAGTCGAGCGAAGTTTACATATATATTTTTGATGCCACTCTCATGCTCATTACATCGGGTCTTTTCTTAATATGGCATCCAGGCACCATTGTAGTGCTAGAGAGTAATGGAAGCATACCCTTGTTCGATAGAGTTAATTATAGTTATGCAGAAACCTATTCGTGAACCCCAGAGTCAAGTCAAAAAGATTGGGAGAGGGGGGGGGCGGGGGAGGCGCAACAAGGGTTCAGACGACCGCTCTAAACTCCTCGGAGTTCTTTTGTGGTTTGGCAAAAAAAAGTGTCATAACGGTATGTCATATTTATATATCAATGCTGGCAGAGGAGTACAACCTGCAGAGCTGGGATCTGTGGGTTTTGGTTCGATTATATACCCAAAGCTCTGGACGGTTCCTATTACCCATGCCTGTCAGGCGCGACCCGGTCATAACTTTTTCACCTGATCCAGGGGGATGGTCATCTTTTTGGAAAGAGAGTATATGTACATTTAATAAGGATAAGAGACTCGAATCTATCGTCATTTTGTTTGTAAAATTGCCAGTCTTAAATATGTTTACAGTCCTCCACTGGACACATCTTGGGTAAGAATTGAGAGAGAAATGTTAAAGTTGGAGATGTTGGATCAAACCCTTGGCCTCCACCCTATCTCCTCGATTGGCCAGCGAATCCACAACCTGTACTCCTCGTCCAAAGATCCCAAATTTCCTGTAAGAGATGCGTCGACCACCCATACATCCACCAACAACCACCCAGGAACTTAATCAAAACACAGAAATGAGCAAATATGACCAGTGCTAACGAGTCTCGCTGCACCAGAAGCTCGATAAAGCTATGGTTCATTTTATACAGCCACGAATAGATAGTCGATGTCAACACCACGGGCGCAACGGGTAGAGCCCCCCCATCCATAAGGTCGTGTGGTGACATTGGACTGCAGCCCTGGTCTGGCGATGAGTTGCCTGAGGCGCCTAGGACAGAGCAAAGCTCGCCTCAAGGTTTTCAATATTCTCCTGGTAGACGGCAGCGGCCTGGGTATCTGAGGTGGCTTGCATGACGGTCCGTCGCAAGTACATCAGTTGCGCGTGTTCGACGCTCGAAAGCCAGGCCGTTGACGTCCGGTAATCTCCGCTTCCATATTGCATGCGGCTGTGGCCAAGCCGGAACATGGGACTGAATGGGCCTTGACGAAGTTCTGTTGCCCATGATTCGGATATGCTTCGAATCCCTTGCATGAGAAAGACCCACTCAGCTACGCCGGAGTTACTAACGAGGAAGAAGTCGCCGGGCTGGCGGGGACAGGCCCACGCGTAGAGGAAGGTCAAGGTTGCGGCGATATAGATGGCGGAGCAGTTCTCGGCAGTGACATGCGAGAGAACAGAAGAGATTTCACGGAGGGCAGCGCCGTGTTCAGACCGAGCAATATTGAGGTAGAACTCCCGCTTATCGGTGGCGAAGAGGGACATATGCAACGCTGATAGGGCGAAAATGCTGCGCATCACGAAGTCATGACCAAATCCAACCTTGGGCACGTTGATGCGCCAGAGGTTCTTGAGCACCGGGTCTCCGGAGAGAGTTTGGCTGGTTAGCGTAGTGAAATTGTGCAGAAGCTCCAGGTGGATGGATTCAAGAGCGGGAATCCGGCCAGACGTCCCTCCGTCGAAGCCGTCCGGAATAACGGCGTTGTCGGAGGTCGATATCCGGGTCCGGTTCACCGGCGATTTAGAGGGGGGAGTTGCTATCGACCGCGAAAAGTCACACTCGACGCCATGTCTTGCACAATTGGCGCAACAAGGCTTTCCTTCATCGCACTGATTGTCCCGATGTCTAGATTTAGCGGAATGCTTAATCGCAAAATTGTTTGACTGATTGAATGCATTGAACGAAATACATAGCAAAGGGCATCTACGGTGGGGTCTTACTTTAATTTTCCGCCTCTTGCAGATACCACATCCCGCCCGACTTTTCTGGTGCCGCCGACGGGTGCGAGGCTTGGGCAGATCTGGAGTGGTGAGGGTTTGTTCACGGGTCATATCGATATCTAAGAGCTCGTCTTACAATTAAGCCTGTACTGCTCAAGTGAGGGAAGCTAAGTGGACTCTGCGTAAAGAGAAATTAGCCAATCGGGTCTTAAACTTGGGGAGAAATGAGAGCCGGTAAGTCTTGTGTAAAAAAGGATTGAATGTACGAGTATACGAGATGTCTCGGTTCCGCTACGGAGTATTAGACTAATAAATAACTGGGAAGATGTCAGTGGGGCCACTTTGGTCGGATTCTCTCGCAAAACTGGTTTTTGGGGGGCTAACTACTAGACTTATTGTAGCAAATAGTGGAGGCTTTCATCTAACTCCATAGTTTAGACTACAATGTAATTTTGTGAGGGAATCTGGAAGTGGTACCCAGTATTCGTGGATCCGAAGACGACAGATACAATCCCGTGGGTTAAGGCACCTTTCGATATTCTGGAGTAACAGAAAATTTGATGATATATTACAACTAAAATATTGCACCATGAGCCAGAGCCCCAATGTATTAAAGCGTTATTAAGCTTGTTGTAAGAAGGAGCAGAGGTCAGAGATTCCATGATCCAAGCCTATATAAATGAGCGTACTGAGTATGGACATTATATATCGCTCCTCTATTGTACACATTTAAAGGGTCAGCAAAGTTGGCCTTTGAGCTTCTATGTCTCTGCGTGGGGGGGGGGGGGGGGGGGGGGGGGGGGGGAGGGGCGCATGAAGCGCTTTATTTTAAAAGGAGTTAAACAACGGGACAGATATTAAATGGTATAGGTTCGAGCGTTAGGGTGGTCCCTAAGCTCAGGTATAAGAAGAAGAATCATAAGAATGGCGAACTGTCTGCCGAAAGATGCGTCATCCTCCGGGCTGAGGATGACTTACTTGTTCCAGCGGCAACTATGGTGTCAGCCATGTTTCTTTGAGCACAGCCTCCTCGGTGCGAGTTTTCGACCTCTTGCGCGAGTCTTTCTTGAGATCTTGTAACGGACGCAGTAAGGCTGGCAGGTGTGCAGGGAGGGGTATGCCGGACCTCCGTCACAGACGGCACCGGCTGAGGACTCGCCATGGCCATAATTGTTCAGGTTGGCGGCGAATATGGCGAAACTATTCTATGTACACTGACAAAATGCCTGGTATTAACGCTTCATCATAGGTTATTAAAAGTTGCAATGAGGAAATAAGGGAGCTTAGCGCAGTTTTTCCTAAGTTATAGAGGCCGAATAAAACAAAATACCTTATAATGATGAAAGTATATAAAAGGCATTACCAAATTTAATTAAATTTCGTTGCCTATGGCTGAGGTCCTATTGACAAAGAGGTATGAACTTTTGTGAGTATTGGGTTGTTGCTATTTATCTAGAGACAGAGGCTGTATTAATACGGAAATATATCCTAAGCGGTTTCTTGCTGACTAGTAGTTTCTAGCGGAACATGTAGTTATACCTGAGATGCGAGGGTCTTACGTATGGACTTAGGTATAAGTCCTCGGATACATGTAGTCTCAGATCACTAGCTAGCCAAAGGATTATCTACTTTCCTTCGCTGTTTAGCCCGAATATAGGCACTACCAAGAACTGAGTTTCTAGCATGCAGTATGGCTGCATCACTTTGAAGACATATTAAAATTACTATCATTGCTGATGAGAATCATTACTTGTGGGATGGCTAGGCCAGATTTGTTAAAGGGAATAGCAAGGTTGTTGCTGGTAAAGATTATGCGTAGTACACTTGTCATAGGTTGTACGTAGTAGCTCCTTACCTCAAAGCAGCGGCCAGCGACAAAACAACCCAAGTATGAAGACCACGCCTTGCTCTGGCCTTGATAGTCTTTTGCACGCCGAAAATAAGTTATAAATTATCATTATATCTTTCCCCTTGCCAATATCCAGTATTAACCTGGTACGTAGGTATATTAAGCTATTGCTGAAAAACGTTTACCGTATTCTTTATTATTAAAAATACACCCGAATCTCTGTCATTCATATTTTTTGCATTGCATCCCTCTAGCGGGTGTCGGAAGGATTCGTATCCTTGCTAGCGTGCCTGGCACAGCCTCCCTTGGCACAGCCTCCCTTGGTTCAGCTGAGATTCTCAGCTTCACGATCCGCGCGAGGTCGAAACAACGTTAACCGTACAACACTCGCACGCACAGTATGGTAATAGCTCCAATCAATATTGCTCTTAAGTAGCAGAATACCCATAAGAGGTCTTTCCTTATTGACTCATTCTGATATTGCCAAACTGGTTTCGTTTTCAACATGGGAGTTGCCGTCGCAAGCTTTCAGGGAGTGCCAAATTTTCAGATACCACATTACTTCTTTACTGCACCCGACGCCTCTAGTCATATTTTCGACTTCCTATCATCCCCAGCCATACAAGGCCAATTCCATGGATCGATATACTCAACACCGGGAGGCGATATAGCGAACTGGACTGACGCCTGTAAATGGCAGGGCAATCCGTTTGTAGGCTATGGGTACTTTCTTGGGTGCCTACTTTACAGTAACGTAACTAGAGGCATTGAAGAAAAAACTCTGTCAGCCAACTTAACAGATATGGGTTTTTCAGCGTCGAAAGAATACGAAAACTATTTGTCGAAAAAGCTTTTATCAGACTATCCAACTTGCTTGGTTGCTTATTGCACCTCTCAATCCGACTGCGCCAGCAGTGACGCGTGTGATGTCGGCAACTTAGTGACTGACAGTTATCAATTATCAGCCCAAGGCGTTGCTAATTGCTATCAGTTGTTATGTTCGATAGATGTTCAAGGTGTCAATGCTGACATTGCAGGTATCGGGGTGTGTAATACAAACCCTCTATCACCATATATAGAGGCTTTATTAGCTAACAGAAGATTTATATATGCCTAGGTTCTCCTTTCATATCTTATTCAGAGCGTCATCTCCCTTGTTGGTGCCTGTGCCCTAGCCATCCTTGGTTTCGTCATTCAGTGGCATAGCTACAAGGGAGCATCTTTGCAGATTGGAGATGCAGAGAGCAAGAAACTCAAGCTTGAACACCATACAGGTATAGCAAATCGAGCCAAAAAGCATGCGGCGATCATCAACTCGACTCTTGCTGAATTCCACAAGGCTCAATGTTACTTTGTCATTGCTCTGCAGATTGCGTCTCTTGTCTTAATAGTGTCCGATTTTGCCTCAACAACATTTATCGATCAAAACTTTCTCTTCCTCGTCTGCTTGGATGGTATTATTCCCGTTGTTTTGACGCTCTATACGTTGATGATATTTGGCAAAAAATCGTGGTATATAATTACTATATCACTTATCAGCGTTATTTTATCTTCCACGACAGGAGGTTATTTAATCCAGAATGTATTTCCCTTGGAAAAAAGAGCTGCGCAAGGAGGCACTTGGCCAACAGCATGTGGATATATAGGCCCCACGTCAATATGTTCGGACATTGGACCCAATAACGCAGGAAGCGACTTCAACAGCGATGGGACATTTGTTCTCGCGATCATTATTATTCTGGACATACTTGTCGTATCGCTAATTCTATGGAAGATTTTGACTGACCTAAATCCCTCATGGTCCATAGCCAACATATGGCTTGCAAGGTATCTTGCATGCGGCGAACATCACCTGGATCTCATCCAACGCGTTACCACAATTTTCTGTCATTTCCTTACCACTTCAATCATCATTACGTGTCTCATCATTGAGTTCTACTTCTTTTCGGCAATCCTTTACCATTCTCCCTATGTCGACTTCAAGTCGTGGGGTTTTGGGCAGATAGTAGGACTTACCACTTGGTTTGGCACCTTTATTGAGGTTGTTTACTTAGAGTACCGTCAGTTACATCCACAAGCAGAACTTTCATAACGTTTAGATAATTAACATTCTTTTTAGATGGTTTGGCCGATGGATTAGAGTGGCGTTGGCCGAAATGGCTGCATACATTTGAAATTGGGAAAATGGCGCCCGAGACTTCAGACGAATCACCTGAATCATCAGTACCACTGCCCGGGATAATGCATGATAATACTTGGGTACCGGGACCTAAATCGGGTGCCAAAGATACTCTATCTATTAATCTGACAGTGACACCAGTTGAACAAAATCAAGAGAATATAACTGTTCATCTGCCAGAACAAAAACACTCAAATGCATTATAAGTTAAGATAATTAGTGGTGGCATATAAGAATTATAAAATGAAACCATATAAGTGGGTCGATTTTACATCTTCCACCAACAGATTAAGGCTCTGACCAACCAAACGATCAAGCAAAACTCTGAATTCTCTTTTTCAATGTATAGGCACATGGAACAGCTGTACCTATGGCTCAAATACCGGCCACAGCAACAGCTATACCTGTCTAAACGAGTCCATGAAATGCTATAAGGTTTAAATTGGTATTTTTTTTTTTTTTTAAAAAAAAAAAGTAATATCTCATCATTCACTCTTCTCTCGTTTTCACCTTCTGTAACCGCACGAACCGAACAGCATTGCAACCGTGGTGCATGAAGCAAGCGAATCACGGCCTATTCGGTGTAAACGGACTAAGCGGAGTTGAACAGCAGCCGGTGGTGCTTAGAGGACAGCTGGTCTTCTATGTCGTAGGTGCGGGTTTTGGCGGGGTTAATATCAGTGCGTTTTCATTGTGCGAGTCAACGCTGGCAGCCTCGACGGACAGGTGCATGGTTGCTTCTCAATTATGCACTATCGTAGAAGTTTTTGCAAAGATATACTGCTTGTTGATCCTTAGTCGCCTTATCTGCGAGCCATCTTCATCGATTGAGATACGAGCCTATTTATCGAAATTAAATTTAATATCAAGACGAGAGGTTCAATGCTGTAACAGCTGGTTCAACAAAAGGCTATGCCCCAGCCTTTGAAGAACCTATTCATTTAATGCAACTCTTCCGTCTCTACCAAGATGCTTCATCCCGATGAAAAACATATACGCAGCCAAATATGGGTTGGCTAAAGACCAACGTCGCCCGCGATGGGCCGCTAGTGACCGTCGCCCTCCGCCGCTGGCCGTCCTGGGCCGCCGTATCCCGTTGCAGCCAACCACCAAGCGGGTGGACCACGAGCTGGGCCAATGGGGCAATGCCTCTCCGGATGCGTCGCCGACATGTGTAAGCCTACAATAACAAATCGGCCAAAGCCAGATCTGAATATCCTGAACACTGTACTCTCACTTTTGGCTAACTAAGGACCATCGCAGCAATATCTCTTCTTGACACAGATTGTTCACCGACTCCATCAAGGCAATCAATTTCCATTACAAAATATGACCAAGATCGAACTTCAACTCGTCCAGACCCTAGGCACATCTGGCGCTCGCGCTGTTGCCGCATTTGAGATCCAGGGCCGTCAGTACTTGGCGATCCCTCAATTAGCAGAGGACATCCCCAATGGCGCCATTGGCATGAACCTTGGAAACAGCGATGCTCCTCTGCTTCTCTACAGACTTCACGAAGGTAGTGGAGAATATCAGACTTTCCAGACGCTGCCGGTCCCTGGTGGTGAAGATGCTGAGTTCTTCACGATTGGCGGCCGGACCTTTTTAGCAACCGCAAGTCTTCGCTCTGGTCGAGGTCCATATGAAATGGATGTTGAGTCAATAATATTTGAGTGGAACGGGACATATTTCGTTGAATTCCAGCGCATTGCCACCTTTGCAGCGAAGCAATGGAGATACTTCAGTGTCAAGGGACGACACTTCTTAGGTCTCGCTCAAGGGGTTCAGCTTCCTGGCCTCGTGCCTAAAATCCCAGCGGACTCCATCATTTATGAATGGGATGGTAACAAGTTCAAGAAATTCCAGACTGTTCCGTCAAAATGGGGCTATAACTATCTTCACTTTAGCATTGACGGAGAGGACTACCTTGCTTACGCCGACCATGTTGAGCCATCAATCATTTTGCGGTGGGACGGAAAATCTTTTGCTCATTTTCAAACTCTTGATGGCGCACATGGACGTGCGTTTGCTTTCTTTCAAGATGGAAATCAGTATTATCTTGCTTTCGCCTTGTTGACAGAGGATAGCGTCCTCTATCGATGGAATGGCAAGGCCTTTGACACTCACCAGAAGCTAACTACAGGACCTGGTGGTCGTGAACTAGCGGTGGTGCAACAGGAATGTCAAACATACCTGGTGCTTGTGAATTTCATCACAGGCACAAGAGAAAATCCAGTCACAGACCTTCAGTCAGCGATTTTTGTCCTGGAAAATGGTCAACTCAAAGAAGTAGCTAAATTCCCAACTCTAGGAGGAACAGACGCCACTCCAGTAGTAAGAGATAATCAGATTTATCTCATTGTCACCGAGAGTCTGGCAAAGGATCAACATTTCAGGACAGCTTCTCGCATTTACAAGTTCACTGTCACGCAAAAGGCACAGAAGGAAGCTCCTAAAGGACTTTCGTTCCAAGTCCCCGAGTTCCTTGAGCTCTTCACTGCATACACGTCTTCCAGGACGGGTATTGGCGCTGCGTTGACTCAATCTGAGACGGAAACTACAAACTCGTTACCTTTGCTAGTCGCAACCAGTTTTGATATGATTCTCTTTCCCGGAAACGGAATTGACCCATCATACATCAATTTCCGCCTTGGGAGTAGGGGTTTCAAGGAGTTAGCTGCAGTTTCGCATCTCGGGCCAGCACTTGCGTCTCTGATACAGATTCGCGACAATGGAGCGCCTGATGAGGTATGGCAAAAACAGGCTCAAAATCTACTTGAGAAAACACGTGCGTCACAGAAGGTCAATTCAACAACTCTTTGGAAGGACCACATCCAAGTAGAAGCATTCCAAGGGCGTGAAGCCGCCATTGCTTCCATGGTGGATTACGCCTGTACTCTGACCATAGCATTCCTAGAATCGGTTCTCGCAGACTCATCAAAGCTGAACGCCGAGTTCTACCGTGAGAATTATATCGAAGCAACTGGAGATGCGCTCAGTGCGACAGTTCCATACAACGCTGTTATGATTGCCACGTTCTTCTTAGTCGGGCTGGACCTCTCTTACCGTTCTCGAAAGTGGCTCAGGTCTAACAATTTTGATTGGAAGAAAGCCATGGTCATTATTACTGGCCAACAGGGACGCGAGACTTCTGGTGTAACTATTAGCACCTCATCCGTTGCTCAAATTCTTCTTGAGTCATCGGATTTGGATCTTCCCTTGGAACGGCTTTACATAGCACCACATGGGGCAGTGCCTAAGATCCAAGCTCCCGTGACACCAGACTCGCTGCGTGTTCATGAGCATGGATTCCGCTTACTATGGAATGCTATGACTGGCATGACGCATCTTGGTGAAACCATGTTTGCACAGTACCCAGCTTACGCCCTCGAAAACAACATGCGGCCAGAGATTAACGCTTCAACATTGACAGTATCAGAACTCCCCAAGATTTTAAGCCCAGATGACTGGTTCGCGATGAACACACGCATGCGTGTCGTAGTCGAGGATGCGCGACAGCTTCTATCTGGATGCGTTACCGACTATGCTGCTAAACAACTGCGAATTGCCCGAGATGACCTCACCAAGGTTGTGGTTCCAGGTTTGGATGGGGTTGACTATTCGTCTAAAAAGCGACTGCCAGGCTATGGCGAGAAACAGGACATCATAAAACTGTCTACAAACCCAAATCCAATCAAGATCGATCTACCTGTATCCATTCAAACAATTGAGGCCAACGGCGGAGTACTCGCATTCAGGCAAGCCGGTCCGACAAACGCCGAGCCGATTGTGTGGATTCACGGATTGCCACTCGACAGCCGCTCATGGTCCGCGCAGTATGATGCGTTCGCTGACAAGTACCGTAACATCTTTGTTGATCTGCGAGGTTATGGAGCATCGTCTAAACTTCCTGCAGCCGTAAAAGATGTGACGCAGCTTTACTGTGACGACATTCTCGCCGTGATGGATCATCTCGAGATTCCCAAGGCGAATGTCGTGGGATTCGCGTCAGCTGGACATGTTGCTCTGCGATTTGCAGCGCTGCAGGCCGACCGCGTAAATAAGCTTGTTACTTTGAATGCTAGTCCAAAATTCAAGCGAAACGACACTGATTATCCAAACGGCTTCACCGAGGAGCAACTGAACGATCATTTTGTTGCTGCCAGCGATCGGGGCATTGAGGAGGTAACCAATGCTATTCTCGATCCAGCGGTTGTGTTCCAAGATCTTACGGCAGAAGACGCGTATAAGGTTGCTTCATGGTTCCGTACCATGGCTTATAATGCTGGCACTGACACCTTGAATGGTTTCTTCAAGATTATGGCCCATGATGATGATCGTCAGTATGTTCCTCGGGTCAAGGCACCAACGCTTTTGATCTCGTCATCTCTTGGAAAGGAGGTTCCCGCTGCTACAGCCTTGTACCTGCGACAAAATCTCCAGCAAGCCAAGCTTGTAGAAGTTCCAGACGCGGATCACTTTTTGCATGTGACGCGACCAGTGGTGATTAACGAGCTTATTAGAGGGTTTCTGAGCTCTTAAATTGCATAGTGATTTGAACGAAGGTACCTTGCATGAATAGTACAGTAATATAGGAGGCAAATTCTTACAATGTCTTAATATATCGTTACATGGTTTGGTCAAAGCCAAGATTGCCACTAATAAACTGAAGTTAGAGCTGCACTAATCACTGAGTACCAAAAAACTTAGAGTGTACGCGCCTCCGTTCTACACGCCTCTTGTTTTGTGTACGGCGAGCGAGCCAGCCCACACGTTTATTAAAAACTTCTGAACACATTGATTCAAGTATCATATGCTTACAATAACTAGCCCTTATATAGTAACTAACCCTTATCTTAAAGAATCGCAGGGAATCTTCCAGAGTAGCGGTGAGTTTTGACTTTTCATTACTGTCGTTAGTCCAGTTCCTCTTACTCCAGGAATTACTATATAGGTAATTCGAATTGGTCACTAATTTGAGACTGATACGTCTAAATGCTGGGGATTGATCTGATGGAAGCTAGAGATCCATGGTAGAAGCATGGAAATAGGGAGATAGAACTACTAGTTTGTGCATAGAGTCAAATGATTTGTGCGCGGGTACATTATAAAGAAAACAAATGTTTAAGCGTATGTAACCGGGTTTACAAGTGTTCCGAGACTCTCAATTTTGATCTCAATCTTGTCTCCGTGCTGAAGCCACCGAGGTGGCTTCATCGTGAAGCCTGGACCACTCGGTGTTCCAGTGAGAATCACATCTCCTGCATAAAGCGTTGTGCCTTGACTAAGAAATTCAATAATACGGGCGACACTGAATAGCATGTGAGAAGTGTTGGAATCCTGTCGTAGTTCTCCGTTTACCCATGTGCGGAGACTGAGATCTTGAGGATTGGGCACGAGCTGCAAGATTCATTAGCTTGAAGCGCGATTGCTGCTTGGGGTAACTAACGTGTGCTGCAGTGATGCATGGGCCGATTGGACAAAACGAGTCAAATGCTTTCGAAAACCCAGCTTGAGGAGGCGGGATGGTGCTACTCGTGAAATTGCCTTGCCATTTTCGAGCAGACATGTCGTTGCCCACTGTGTAGCCGACAACATAATCGTATGCATCTTCTACTGAAACGTTCTTTACGTCCTTTCCTATCACAATGACAAGTTCGCCCTCATAGTCTGCCTGATCATCTTGTGCAATTTTTGGAATCTCAATGTTTTCCCCAGGACCAACTATAGAGTTTGGAAACTTGGGGAACATGCATGGAAACGCTGGAGGCGGAATGCTGAGCTCGTCCACTTCAAATTAATGAATAAAGTAGGTAGAAATTGCTGAATTATGGACTGTAGTGACCTACAATGCGTGCGATAGTTTCCACCGATACATCGAATGGCAGACACGTCTTGTCTCGCTAGTGGCGCAAGGAGTCGTCGAACTGTGAGTACTGTCTTGGTTATGTTACAAGATGAATTAAGGGGATTTCCAGTAATCTTCTTGGCCTTCAGCAGTTGCGACTTGTCTAACCGTCCAAGGTCTGGTTGGCTAGTGGAAACTATCGGCTCGCCATAGTGAATGTTAGCATCTTCTTCCGCTTCAAAGCGGATTAGACGAGTCCAGGGAACGTTGACAGGCATTTTGTAAGAAGGGAATATCAAGTATCCTAAGGTTGAGTCTTGGTGAAGATAGTGAATAACCAAAGGCATCAGATGAGACCTATATTCTCCAGATCTTCAGATTATGACTCCCGAAAAATGGGTTTGCCTTCTCCTCATACCCCGTTCTCGGAACTTTTAACCCTATCTCCGGAGACATCGGCTCGCGACTCTCGTAGTCATTCGTATTTGTCTTGATTAATACGGCAATTGGCATCGGTATTCCCTTCCATAGCTCTGTTGCCTGCTGAGCAGTCGACGGCGGAAAAGTGCGGAGCACAACGGATCACAGCGGAACTTCTGATGTAAGACAGACTGTGAGCTTAGGGTTGGAGGCGCTGAAGCTACAAAATAAGAATTGGTAGAGAATTTAGAGTTTGGAGGCAATCGACGAAGTAGTTATATGCGTAATGTAGATTGTGTTTTTGTTCTTTGTTGCATCCTCCACCGAAGCAATGAGTGATTGGGGACGATTTAGATCAAATATGAATATTTCTGCAGTGTTGTCGATCCTAATGGATCGTTCGTACCATCTTAAGAAGATGGTAATCGAGCACCCGAGCGTTATAGTGTCTGTTGTCCTCGGCGCTTTAATCCTCTTCTCGTTCTTGGTGAGTGGCGAACCAATGTGAATGCGGCCAACGAAGAGCCTCTAACTAGCAGCGCCAGTCAATCATACGAGACCCGCTCAAAAGTGTTCCGGGCCCTATGAAGGCAAGGTGGTCGCGCTTCTGGCTTATCTGGATTGACATGTCAGGAAATCGATCGAAGACTGTCCACAAACTCCACCAGAAGTATGGCAGTATTGTCAGAATTGGTCCCCGGGAAGTGTCCTTTTCTAGTCGGCAAGCAATGAAAGACCTTTATGGCTCCGGAAATAAGTTTAGGAAAGGTCCTGTGTATGAAGCTTTTGGTCGACAGAGCTCCTTTACCATCCTGGATAAGTCAGTGCATCGATCGAGACAGAAGCGCATTGCGCATGTCTTTGCACCAGCGTCAATTGCGGCTGTAGAGCCTCTGGTAAAAAAACATACTCAAAAGCTGTTACGTGTTTTGTCTAAGCGAACTAATCTGCCACTTGATGTGATGGAATGGTTTCGAATATTCGCTCTCGACGTTGTTGGTTAGTATCTTCCTACAAATAGACATGACAACTGTTGACGCGCAATAGGATCCGTCTTCCTTGGACAGAGCTTTGGAGGACTTGATAAAGAAGCGCCACCCGAGATTTTGTACGATCTGGATGAAGTGTTTCCCTCTCTTTTAGTCGAGTGGCAATTTGCCGCCATTCGTCCACTCCTCCTCGCTATTCCACACAAGCCTATGCAACATTTTTTGAGAATTGCCTCAGAATTCTATGATGTGAGTGAATCATTGTGTGAAGTTGGGATTTTAAGACGAAAATTGAGTCAAAATGCAGAAATACGGAACCGAAAAGTTCAACGAGTACATTGCACGACATGGTCGTTCTGGTGATCGTATCGACCTTCTTACCAAGCTTATCGCTGGCAGTAAGGACTTTGGGCCACTAGAAGATGACCAAATCATCAATGAGATGACAAATCTAATCTTTGCTGGAACTGATACTACTAGTAACACGTTCACATATATGTTCTACGAATTGGCTAAGCATCCGGAGTGGCAAAAGAAGCTGCAAGCTGAACTGGGAGAAGCAGCACTTGAAGAGGTCCCAGAGTATAAGGATGTTGTGAAACTGCCAGTATTGGACGCCGTCATCCATGAGACATTGAGAGTTCATCCCGCGGCACCAGCAGGGCTACAGCGACTTGCACCTGGTGCAGGAGGCGCAGTGGTTGATGGAATTACTATCCCCCAGAACGTAAGTTTCTGAGTAATCGATCTCTTACGAATGTTCCACTCACAGATGATTACAGGGAATCGCATCTTGCCAAGCTTATACAACTCAGAGAGATCCAACGGTGTATCCCAACCCGGAGAAGTTTGATCCCAACAGATGGCTTGTCGCTTCTGAAGATCATCTCAATGTGATGCACGAACACATCCTCGTTTGGGGCAAAGGGCAGAGAGCATGTTTGGGGAAGTACATGGCATACATGGAGCTGAAGGTGGGAACGGCCGCGTTGATGGGGAAATTTAACGTGGAAATCGGCAGCGCAACGACTGATGACGATATGGAAATGACGGATCATTTTGCCTTAGTGCCGAAAGGGAAGCGATGCATTTTACGTCTGAAGGAAAGAAATTAAATCCGTGAGAGTTATATTGAAGTTGATTTTACATTGTATCGATAAACTGCATCTTTCTTCCGTCTCTTAACTCACCTGCATCTAAGAGAACCTCGGGATTGTCTACAGTATCATTTTTAAGTTGTAGGATGAAAGCAGTGATATATATATCTCACCATACGCATTCTCCGAATTCACAAGCTTCCTAACTTAAATGATTATCATTTGAGGCAGAAAACTCAGCAGCCATGACCAATACCTTGGATTGTGTTCCAGGCTTTACAAATTTTCATTCCATATGAAATTGAGCTCATCATCAAATACACCGAATGTTTGCGTCAAGCCCGCTCCGAATGGCGCAATCGATGCATCGAACGGATGAGCTAGCCAGTCTTGATTGATCCCATAATCCCCACCGGTGAGATCGATTGCTGGCATCTCATTTGCCGCGTGTTCGCTGCCTGGGAATCCCTCTGTGTCCAGGACATGACTGTTGGTCGGCCGTGAAACGCCCAGGATACTGACGAACCTTTCTCTGAAGCCTTGCGTATAGGTCTCCAACAGAGATGCAAAAATTCCAGCAAGATGCAAATCATCAACGATGTGAAGACGGAGCACTCGTGCACTCTGATCAATGAGACCAAGAGATGCATTGAGTTCATCCGTAGGAACCCCAAGTGCGAGCGCCTGTGAATGTTAAACTTCTAGAATGATACCAAAAATAGATATTTTACTTACCTTGAGCAAGAAAATGCACGACGAGATCACTCTCACGTATGTACGAACAGGTAGATATCTCAGCCGCCCAATCTCAGCAAACCCAAGAATGATTCGGAGAACATCTTTCGCCGCGACAATTACACCTTGTATAAAATTGTAGTCCTCATAGTGGAAGTCAAAGATTGATGACATCACACTGTTGGGCACTTCATTTGCTTGCTATCTCATTTTGCGTTCCGCCGCTGCTTGCAAAGCTAGAGAATAGAGATATATCTTAGTGTAAAGAAAGTCAATAGCTAGAAATTCCCGAAATGGTCCAGCTGCTGTAAAGAGGTAAGTAAAATACATGTTATAAAAATCCAGCAAGAGAATGGCCATACCTGTGGCTGCTGTGTATTTCGCCCACCAATTTTCCAGTAATGGCTTAAAATGATCCAGAATTCGACGGTACCTCCCGCTTTGCACGAGCTCTCGCGTTAGTGCTTTTGACGCAAAGAGTAGATCATGAGACGTCCGTGTCAGCCGACTAAGATCTACCCACAAAGACATAGACTCAATCCAATAGTCGCCAAGCTGGGAGGTCGGTGATTGTTTGAGCGCATTCTGCGATAAACTAACTAACGTATGAGGGATGAGCGTGGAAAAGCCGATTCTGAAGGCCAATTGATTCATGTACAAGTATAATACTATTCTCAACCTCTGTCGTCTTTGCTTGTTAAATTCGCGAACTATACTTGATCCAGAGCTGCTGTCATTGTCTCCCTCGTCGTCAAACAGCCCCAGTTCGTGGCCAACACTGGCTGCAGATTGAATGAGAGACCTGTGAGAACAATATTAGTAGCATGAAAAGTATAGATTATGCTAATGCCATACCAAGACATCCGATCGGACCTTCTCAGTATCATCCTCTGAATCCCATGCTTCAATATCCGGAGGTAAATGAAGCGAACGGGCATGCCACTCAGCCATTAGGAGGAACCCTTCCACGGTCCCAAGACTTCGTGCCGAACTCACAATGCCTTTCTCCTGTCCCCATATTACGCGCTGTAGGAGCGACTGACAATATCGCCAAAGTCGATTATGTAAGAAATAGCTGCGAGATAGCCAGCCGTCACCATGCAATAAGTGATAACGGCTTGATAGAGTGAGGATTGCAGTGCATAGGACAGGCTCCGCATCAACCAAATTGCGATAGTTGGCAGGGTCCCCATACCAGTCACCAATGACAGGTGTAATAGGACACATGTTCCTGAAGAAGCTAGATGGAGAGATTAAAACAGATCTTTCTTGGCGGTGTCATGGCATAGACGTACAGATTGACAAACGTTACCGCCTCCTGAGCAGTCAGCCATCTTTTTTTGACAAACTTTAACCTGGCAAATGTCTCAATCACCTCGGGTGAAGGTTGGACAACATTTTCGGCAGGATATGCCCATTCCCAGCCTTTGGAGTGCCACGCAGAGTTACGTCCAGGTGTTTGTACAGAATTGCTCTCTGCACTAGCATTCAAAGACCCAACATCATTTTCGTTAGTCCGAGCCGCAGAGTTGCCGGCGTGGTAAACTTCAGCCGCTTCAAATAAGAGATTTAGAGCTTCGGACTGATTAGATACCACTGTTCGAGTAACACGGTCCGTTAAGTCGCTCAAGGGAGACTCATTCTGCTGTGGAGCTATACTTCTACCCGTCGCTGTTGGGCCCGACAATTGGCTGCTGGAGCCATCATGACCCAGGAGAGTCTGTGATGGTTGATCCCATTGTGACGTGCTGCCACCAGTCGTCCCATCGCGTGATGTTGCGTACACATCAGACGCCCGGCTCTCTTCATCCGCTGCTTGACCAGCATGGCGTGACGACTGCTTCCGGGACCGCTCGGCTGTGAAAACGCACTCTTTTCGCTCCCGTTTGCACCTCATGCACACAGGATCGGCTCCGGGCGGTGGGTCTGGAATCAAGCATCGAGCCTTGCGCTGGCGGCAACGGACACAAGCCTGATACGCCCTCCTGGGGATTTTGATAGCAGCCGCCGCGGCACCAGGCGGCATAAACTGGTCCATCTTGCGATATCACGCATTCCCCCTGCAGTCTGCAATAGCTCATGTGAGCGGATAACGGTGGGTGATTGTTTTATGCGTCGGTTAGGGCACGGGATTGTGAGATGTGGCAAAGGGCGGCCGAAGACGGAAAGGTGCGGGAATGTCCGCCACCTTGTTAGCCAGCTGTCTCCTGCCCTCCTTGATCATCGACCTGAATCTGGGGGCGCGTCTCCGGTAGTATTAAGGGTGCGTCGGTTTGGTCTACCAACGGACCAAAGGTATATAATGTCTTTAGTTGAAATTCCTGCTCTGGAGATGCAGATGATGATTTGACTTGGCTTCAGGTTTAATCTGGCCGTGGAGAATTGTCATGGATTTTTGGAATATCACAAGAAAATTGGACTCGGCTCACCCTCAGGAAACACATGTTTACAAGCAGTCGCACTACTAATAGGGGGGTCTTAAAATCGACTAACTGCCCGTGCTAGCTCTACATAGCACGGGGGGTACGCTGACTAGGAAAATCGTCGATAACTGGGGAAAAAAAAGGTACTTAATCTAACTAAGCAGAAGCTAAGAAACTAATGTATTCCACTTTTTGAGGGTAGGCTTTACAGCCTACCCTATATACCTTGTATTTTTATACTTTAATATCTTATTTAATTTTTAATAAAAATAAATTTAAATTTAAATTTAGCTTTATTATATAGTTATATAATTATAATTTTAATTTTAGGTTTTTTTTATATCAGTTTAAGTAAGCTATATTTGATTTTATATTTTATACTAGGTAATTAATTAGAAACTCTGTGTATATACTAAAGTTTTACACTTAATAGAGAGACTTATTTTCTTTTATAATTTACTAGCGCTATAATGTATTTTTTTTTAATTATCGACGATTTTCCAACTTGGCGTACCCCCTGTGCTACGTAGAGCTTTCGTGGGGAGTTAGCTGATTTCAAAGCCCCCCTAGTATACCTGTCAACGTATCATTCTCACTAGAGGTATTGACCTGAAATTGACAGATACAGTTAGGAATAACTCTTTTTTCATGACTACAATTGGGAATGGTCCTCAATATTTATACTCTTCAAGGTAGTTTAGACAATTGCCTCCAGGGAGATATATGAATGTTTCTATTAAAGACTGCTGTCGTTGTATTAGGTTCTGGCCTCACCCAAGCACTTCTGGCCTCCCTTCTACGACTGTACAATTTACTACTCCTTTGTATCTCCAACGCCTTACGATTACTAAGGAAGAACCTGGCTCAAGGGTAAAGTCCTTGAAGAGCTTCCTACATAGACAGTCTTGGCATAATCAGAGATAACCCAGTTCTGGCTTGACGGGTCCCAGTTACTCAGATCACGTCTTGTCAACTGGAAGGTGACGGTGGCAGATCGGCCAGGAAGGATCTCAATATCATCAAATCCTCGCAGAACACGGACAGGATCACTTGGGCCACCCAGGCTCACATACTAGGACAAGGAGTTAGCAATCTTATATGCACAAATATCATTAATGGCTTGCAAAATACTCACTAGCTGCGGAATTTCGGTACCCGTCACTTTTCCAGTGTTTTCGATTTGGGCCGTGACAGTATAGAGAACATCGTACAAGCCAGGGTTTCCACCAGGAGCGCCACCAGCCGGGGCGACTTTCTGGGGCGACCCATCCTGAGATCCTGCAGGGACGTCTTCCGGCTGCCCCTCAGGAACGGGACCCTCAAGGTATGGGTAGACGTAGAGGTGAATTGGATCAATGTTCTTAGGGAACTCGTTTGCTGCAGGATTCTTGTTGATAGTTCCATGCGTGGGTGCAGATGAGGTCTTGCCCTTGTTGGGGGTATACTTGCGGACCTTATGTTTGACAACCCGAAGATCAGAATAGGTAAATGTGGTGTAGCTGAGGCCAAAGCCAAACTCATAGCTTGGTTCAATACCAGCGGCATCAAAATGACGATAGTCAATGAAGGTTCCCTCGGTATACGGGATCTGTAAGGGATCTTCGGCGGTTGTGTAGACGACATCAGTGCCCCAGTCACTACGATCCTTGCCCCAGGTAAAGACAGACTTGGCCTGGGGGTTGACCTTGCCATAGAGAACATCGGTGATGGAGTTACCTGACTCTTGGCCAGGGAGACCAGCCCAGAGAATGGCAGTAACATTAGGGTTGTTCTTGTAGGCTTCCACAATGATGGGTCCTACAGTGTGCATGACAACGATGGTATTTGGGTTATGCTGTGCAACCAGTGAGACCACTGCGTCGCCGTTACCCCAGGCGGTGAGGTTGTTTCGATCACCCTGATTGCCGTCGACAGTGATGTAGCCTTCGCCGCTATCAGCGTTGACAAAGACGATAGCAGCATCAGCACCTGAAGCTGCCTTTATGATGGCTTTTGTATCAAAGTTGTCGCTCACGTTTCTGAAGCCGGTCCGGTCCTTCTGGGCCTGAGCAGCAAGAGCAGTAACGGGACTAATCAAATACGGGAAGTTGGCAGTGCCACTTCCCCAACCCATGGCGAGGGTCCAGATGGGATAGCCGTTCTTGACGTTAGAGCAGCCTCGGTCACTGCATGCATTGGGACCGGCTGGGTTATCATGGGCATCGTTTCCAATGACGGCAATGCTCTTGGGTTTCTTCAAGGGGAGCGCCTTCTTAGTATTCTTGAGAAGAACCGTTGAGGCGGCACCAATCTGCCGAATGAGTTTCTTGTGATTGGCTTGCACATTGACGTGCTGGTTGATGGTCGTAAGTCTGTTATTCGGGTCCTGCGCGTACTGTGGCCCAGTGGTCTCCAAACTCCAAGAGTCAAAGTTGACTGGGACTTTGGTAACATCGCGACCAATCTTGTAATAAGAAGTCATGATTCGCACAACCATGTCGTCGAGTCTCCATTGGGGAATAGTTCCGTTAATAACAGCGGCGGTAAGGTTGCTTCCCCAGTAAGTGTTGCCAGACGCGAGACCCTGATCTCCGGCCATGGTCATATCAAGACCAGCCAGGGCACTGGCAACACCAGACTGCTGTGCCCACCAATCGCTCATGACTAAGATGTGTAAGCTTTTGTATCGATCAGAAAGCATTGGCACAGCTTACCAAAACCCTGGAAATTCAGTTCCTCTTTGAGAATGTAATTCAGCATATAGCTGTTTTGACATGCGTAGCTGTTATTGACCTGGTTGTATGAGCACATGATGGACCCTACTCCAGCCCGAACCGCATCCGCAAAGGGCCTGGCAAGATAAATCGTCAGCAACTAACTACCCATCGGTTTTCATGGGGATTTTTCTGACCAGAGATATAGCTCATGTAGCGTAACGTCATCGATGTTGGAGGATTCTGCTTGCTTGTTGTTCTGTCCGTTCGTTTTCTGGGAAGCGCCACCTTGACGATAATGCTCCTGCTCATTCCCAATGAAATGCTTTGCACAGGCAATTACACCAGAGTCTTGAATTCCCTGAACCGTCTGAGCCATGCCAACTCCAGTGAGCACTGGGTCAGGGCTGAAACCTTCCCAATTTCGACCACCCTCAGGCGTACGGCCAATAGGTCCTGCCACAGGTCCCAATTGCGTATCCACGCCTTTCCCCCGATGCTCAGCTCCCATAGCCGCACCTCGGGCATACATCAGGTTCCGGCTCCAGGTTGCCGCCACATTGACTCCAGCTGGGAAGGCGGAGTTTTCGTCCGCTAAAAGAAGCAATCTTAGTATTGTTTTCATGAAGGCTAAAGGGGGGGGGGTGGTTAATCTTACTATCACGAACTCCAAGGGGCGAGTCTTGATTGCAGAGACCTGGAAATCCAAGTCGAGGAATTGATCCTGTATTTCCCACACACTTTCCGCCCTCCCATCCTACACCAGTAGTGAGGTTCACCTTCTCCAGAAGAGTGAGTTGACTGACAAACTGGACAGCCTTATCATAGGCTTGTGCCCAAGTTCGACCGTTGGTCGGAACGGGAGAAGGGTCCTCCCAGTTGAAGTCCGCGTTGATCCATGGCGAAGGATACTTTGGCGGGGAGGTCACTTGGCCAGAGGCAACGCCCGTCAGGAGAACGCCAACGGCGATGATTGAATTTGACAACATGGCTTAGACCCGACCACCAAGAAATTCTGCCAAGAGGAAGAGACTTGGCACCGATGCTACCGAAAGCTTGTCCTCACATGCGAGATATCAGCTGAATATATACCCCTGAACCAATGGGGTAGTTCCATCGAAGGTATGGTTACAAGCCGAACAGCCTTGCGAATCATACTATCCTAGCTGTCAGCTTCTACGACAAGGAGTCCAGAAGTCCAACCGCGATTTACACATCTTCATTTCGATAGTATCGATGGTAATCGGACCGATGCTGTTGGTAAACACGCCGAAATAATATATCCAAGCCAGAAAGCAGGGTATGCCCAGATACATAACTTTTGCAAGTGGTTACAGCCGAGCTTCCGCGCTCTACTCCAAGTGCTATAATTTCCTTACAGCTACAGCATTTACAGGTCAACAGTACTCTAGCCTGCTAGTATACCCCAGCTTACAAGGTAGCTGTTTAGTAAAATATCTGCGTTTGTTGCTTTAGCCACTAGGATATATGCAGAAGGAGAGATCTTATTAGTGGATGATTTGTAGCTGAGCTTGTCCGATTGCAGGGCCAACTCAGGGATCGCGCACAGCAAGTTTACACAGGTCTCCGAAATAGGGCCGGGGATAAAGTAATACCACTGCCGAATTGCCGGGCAAAAAATCTTGCGGGGTAGTTGGGGAATGAGGAGCGCCATGTACTCCGTACAAGTACCCCCGATTTAAATTGGTCCCCTTACGATGATCTAATTCAATGGATTTGTCAGAGTCATAATCTGGGGAACTAGTTTATACTACTCCGTAGAATACCTCTATTATAGGTTTTAGACGATGCGCTTGCTACCAAGTGGTTATTGATAAAGTCTGCAAATTTTACAGATATACGTAGTAGTTTCAATACTTACCTAGCAGCCAAAGATCCTTAATGCTGTGGAGCTGAGTGGCGCCAGAATCCGCGTCAATTGTTGTCGAACTGCACCGGCGATGCAAGATTTGATGTTTGTCAACAGTGAATGAGGGGCTGTTGGTAGCAGAAAGACCAATTAGCTTGTCGCCGGATGCTGTATCGCGACCAATCCAAATATGGACACCTTGTGGAAATGAGTTTGCTGTTGAAGGAGGGTAGACGACCGCATCACGGGATGATGCCGTAACCCGCATGCTCAAATCCTCCTTGTTCCCCTGGCCGATGTCGTAGTCCAGCAATTTAAGCTCCCCATTGCGGCTTAGAGTCTCCACACCAGTGTCTGCAGACTCAAGGGTTATCAGCCGAGTTAATTGTTGTGTCCTCGCACTGCATCGACGATTAATGGTTTGGCAGGACTCCAGGGACATAGAATACCACCTTCGCATTGCTAGCTGAGGCTCCTAAGCCTGTATCATTTCGTCCAAATGAAGGTTTTTCAGGCAGACGAGCCGGAGGAGGAGCGTTCCGAGTATTGAGGGCTCCACTGACAAGATCACGCCAATGTCCAGGAACTGAAGTCTCGGAGCGCTAAATTCAGCCAGAAGCGTACGTCCCTACCCAACAGCTTTGCTGGCCAAAAGTTGCCCGCCCAAGTTTGCCGCTAGCGTGACCCAAACAACCTGGCATTACCAAGGACTTTGAATCTCGCCTCCGTCATGGTCCTGGAGGCCGGACAGTCCAACTCGCGGAGGCATAGCACAGTCGCACCCCTGTAAATCTCAACGCTCTCAAGATCACGACAGAGGACAGCCCCAAAAGAAACATGGAGTCCATGCGATCTGGAAGCAAGCTCCGAGTTGCTGATCACTACAACCGGACCGAGTCCCAAAGTAGAGGCTGCAGAAATCGGCTCACGAATCGCCTGAGGGACTTCGTCAGTAGTAGCTTGAGGCATGATAATAGAACCAAAAGAAGGCATTGGGCTTACATCAACTTCTGAAACCACGCATGTTTTCAGCAAGCTGTCCCATGCGTCCTTTGTTATTGTAAGTGCCCAGACTCGTCCATCATCCGCGCCGAGGAACCGTCCTGAGGGAGTTTTCATGATGAAATGTATGGGAAAATAGTCTCGCGTAATCTCAAGCAGCACCAGGTTCCCGCCGGGCCGAAGCAGGCGACGACAATAGCGAACGGCATCTTAGTAGACTCCGTGTCGTGTGTAAGCGGTTCGATGCAACGACCGTGTCGAAGGACGCATCCGATAACTTCTGATCTGCAGTGTCTTTTTCAGTGTCCAGCATCTTGAACATCAACTTTCGCTTATTTTGGCTGAATTTCTCCTTGTCAGGCTCAGAAAAAGCCGGCCGAGACATCGGTGTTTGTGTATGATATGCAGTGGTCATTGGGAGCAGAGAGCACGGCGGGAGTGGTACCGCCGGTTCCAGCGCCGACCTCAAGCGACTTCATACGCGGATGCCGTTCTTCATCATAACTTGGAGATGGGGCAAAGTACCGCGTGCAAAGGCCGGCAAGTTTCTGACCACGGCCTGTAGCAGATGCACATTGTTGTTACCAGACTCCAAATAGCTGGCGCTCCACTTCTCCGGGTCATCGAGTGTGTCGTTTGCCCGCGCTGGTCGAATGTCTGGCTGTTTGCCTGCCTCAATATAAGGGAACAAATGCTTCCTTATCCACTCCGTGATGTGCTTAGGGTGATTTCCCATCAAGAGCAGCTCGGAAGGTCTGGTCTGATTTCGAAACCTCCGTACCTAGGTAAATATAAGCTGTACGCACGAGAAGCACCCGAAGGATTTCATTCTCTCGAGAAGCAGGCCGGGATAGGACTTGACAGCTGCCACAATAGCAACGAGTGTTCACAAGTGGAATCTGATTTTGCAACATACATATTTATGTGAAGTACCCTAAATTTAACCATATGTGGTTAGATTGAAACGAGGTCCTTGCTTCTAGCAGCTGATTGAGGCTATGCTTAGGCTGACCCTCGGCTGAGGTCTCGAGACTAAGGCTCTGTTTGTCACACATTTATGTGAGAGATTATTGGATCGATGATCTAGATAAATACCGAAAACTTTTGAAGAGATGTCTTCTACGATATACTCCAAACTTGAAGAGACTTTGGAAGACCGACAGGAACTTTATAACATCCCTGGAGTCTGCCACACGTTCCAGCACCCTTCCATTGATGCACAGCAAAGGGTTCCACAGGATCTTTCACAGCAAATCGCAAAAGAACATGGACTGCCTGAATTCCTGATTGAGGTAGCAGGCCTTCAGAAATTCAAAGCTCCAACATTATGGCTTCTTATACTGGAGCCGGGCTTGGGAGGAGAGATTATTCGATGTCATCTCCAACAACATGATCTCCGTCGTAAGCCCAAGTTCGAAGCCCTCTCCTATGTCTGGGGAGACCCTTCAAACCCAACGGATATTATTTGCTGCGGAGAGATAATGCCTGTGGGACGAAATCTGGATGCTGCTCTGAGAAGATTGAGAAGTCCTTTTATCCAACGCGTCCTATGGGTAGATGCTCTTTGCATTAATCAAAAAGATCCCGTTGAGCAAGCCAGCCAGGTGGGAATGATAAATTACATCTACTCTCGCGCAAAGCAAGTTCTTGTGTAGCTAAGAGAAGAACGAGAAGAGGACAGCTTAGCATTCGAAGCTATGGAGAAGACAGTTGTATTTATGAATGCACTCTGGCACGACGGAAATATGAACGAGTCCATCAAAAAAATCGTTAATAACCCCGCCCTACCACCCAACGCGTGGCAGCATATAGGCGCCCTCTTCCGCCGTTCGTATTTCAAGCGTCTATGGGTCATCCAAGAAGTGGTTAACGCCTCGTCTGCCCACGTCTTTTGCGGCAACAGGACCATACCATGGGACTCAATGTGCATGGTAACCAATCTCTTGACCGCCGGCTTCCTTGCCACATGTTCCCCTGAGGTTAGACGCTCTGTCCATCTCCCTACCGAGAACGAGTCAAACATCCATTTAATCGAGACGCTCCGCCACACGAAAACCGCCTCTCAGCCCGGACGGTCCTTCTTCGATATCTTGTTCCACGCGCAATCTTTCCAATCCTCTCTTCCCCGGGACAAGTTATTCGCCATCCTGAATCTCCCATGGGTTGAAGAGTACTGGATTCCTCTCCCAAATTATCAGTGCTCAGATCTAGAAGTATTCAGGAACTTCGTTGTGGTTGATTTGATGCACAATAAGTCTGTCAAAGCCCTGTCGTGGGTAAATACTGCCGGGGTGGATCGAGGATCTGATGACCCTTCATGGGTTCCCACGGTTGCGGATTTCCAGGGCCCGAAACCGAGTTTCTTCATGAAAAGGGGGAGACCGACAACTTCCTTCCTCTTCCAGGAGGCCGAAGCGTATCTCGATGAATCTGAATCGTCTCTCATGATCAAAGGCCTGCTTCTTCATTCTGGAGTTAAAAGCATTGCTGATTCTCGCTCCGCATGCTATGAAAAAGCTGGATTAGATCTTCCACTTCAATCAGCAGACATTTACGAGGCGGTTATTGAAGTTGAGAGAAACTGGCTCAGGAGTTGTTTCAGGGTCCTGATGGTTTCGAAATGGCCACACCTGTTTCAAGGTACAAAGACAGAGCTCGATTTCGGAGAGATCCTTTCTTCAGATCACTATACTACCTTCCTTCTCGTTATGTCATGTAATTGGAATCCCTATAGCAACGTGCCCATCATCCCTTGGGTTTCCTCAGGCTCAGAACCGGGAATGAATACAGCACGCGAGCAGTCAGAGGAATTAGACCTCTTAGCATTCATGCGAGATATCACGGGACGATTAATCATGGGCCATCCCATATCCAATAATAACTGGGAGGACTATCTGTGTACAATTTCTCAAGAGCACACAAGATGGAAGGTATTTTGTGGCTTAGGAGATGGGAGGATAGGATGGGTGCCAAGAAATGTAAGTGTCGGGGATAGGGTTTGCGTATTTAACGGGGGGAGAGAAACCTTTTTATTGAGGAATGCACGGGACAAAGAGGGAAATATAAGCACAGGTTGGAAATTGCATGGGGAATGCTTTTTTGAAAGGTTGGAGAATGGAATTGGCGGCGCATTAGAGGGTGAGGGTATTGAAGATGTGTATTTAAGCATTGTTTGAAGCACATGGTATGTTGTAATTATACCTAGGCAGAACAAGGTCAAAATAGCCTCTATCGGACATTTCTATTGTTTCAAAACTTAACATCCAGTTTCTAGTTACTTATTTAGGCATTTTATAACGTCAAAATATACCAATACAACTAAAGCTAAGGAAATTATAACAAACCATGTACCAGTCGTTTCAGTCGGCGGTGGAGTGGCTCGTTTCAAGGCGGGTGACCGTCTCCTCGCTGTGACTTTTGGGCTCAACCCCTCAGAAAAAATAGCCAGTGCTTTTATTGAGTATTCTCTAGCAACTGAAGGCCTTAGCTACCATGTTCCTAATAGCTTAACCCTAGCGCAGGCCAGCTCGATGGGACTTCGGATTGCTACTGCTGGCATGGCACTTTTCCAAGCACAGGCTGCAGCTACTTCTGCCACGTCCCTACAACTCGGATAAGGAGACAAAGGAGTTTGTTCTTGTTGCAGGAGGTGCGACGGGCTCTGGCACGATGGCTATACAGTGTGAAATAGGAGGCTATTGCTCTCCTTTACTCCAACCTGAATTTGGGCTCTTGGCTGCCACTGGAAGATTGATCGTGGGTTACCTAGCTTAATCTAATACCTCTTACAGGGCCGATTCTACGCTTATCGTTCGCTGCTCGCAACAACCACTGCTGCGATTCCTACGGTACCGCAGCTTGCTTCAACTACAGGTCAGCCACGTGCGCGGCAGACATCCCTCGAATAGTTTAACCTATGTCTTTAACCATATCACTAGCACCGCTCTGGTGTCCATTACTCCTGTGGTCAAGTACATACGAAGAAATACCCGGGCCGATAGCTTCGTCTCTTATGGAAACCGCTGCGGAACTGGCCGGCTCTTACGGGCGCCCAAGCACACCAGAGCATAGAAAGTTTACTTCGAAACCGTTTCTGCTTGCTGAAAACCTGTTGTCCAACGGAATAATCAATAACCATCCTCCTATGATCCGGGATGGCGAGATGGCCCCAGATTCCACATACCTCAGTGAGTTGCGTCATGGTCATGTCCGAGTGAAGAGACAAATCGTGCCAAGAATTTCCGGCGGGATAGAAGCACGATAGACATTTTGTTACTGCTAAATATATTAATTCCAAGCAAATCGTTTAAGTGACTCCGCACCAACGAAACCCTGGCTTACAAATGCCACCGCCATGGCTCACAGGTAGCATGATCATAGTATGACATATATAATTAAACAGCGGCTCACCGTCCATGACAAAGAACTTTTTAAATACTCTCGAAAATATTGAGGGGCGGAAAGAATCATGTAGTGCTAGTAGGAGCTCTCTAAATCAGCATATGCTTCCCGCTGAATCAGCTCATGCCCGAACTATGGCTCCTTTCCTCAAGATTCATCTATAGTGTCAGGAGGCGAGGGACGAGGGTGCCGTCAACAATGTATATTATGAGATGATGCGTGGGTTTATCACTAGCCTCCCAATAGGTTAGCTGCGTGGTGCCTATTAAGTAGTTCTTTTACACACGGGATCCCTTAGTATCCTGATATGTAGTGTTGAGTGTCTGTTATAGCCTCTTCTCGTGCTACCTAGGTATTTACTGATTCGCAGTATAGTACGGCAGATTTGGAAGATCTTAACGCATGCTCCGCGTTTGCCTAGACTTTATGTAAGTATCTGTCGGCCGAAACTTCACGAAGGATTCCGTAGCCCATAGCTCCAGTCGGAAAATCCAACCTGGTTTTTTGTTCCGCGCCGAAGTGGAGTAGGGAGTCGAGTGGGTTGTGGAAACTAAAGAAAGCCCAACTTCAACATAACGCGGGTTTATGGAAGGGAAGCGAGTTACAGCTACGGAATATATGGATATGGTGAGCTGAACCCTGTAAATGCATCTCAGCCGCATCACTCTATCCCCACAATTACAGTGTGCCTTCGAAATTTACGCTCATCATTGGTGTCTTGCTTTCTTGAAGATGTTTTCTTTAGGTAGCCTCCGCCTTTGGTTATTACATGTAATTGATGATATTCTCTGGATCAGAGGCGGTATTTATCGAACTCCTGGGTACCTTCCATGAACTTGGAAGATTGATAATATACGGACGCTATGTAATTCGCATAATTAATGGTTAATGGATATTATTACAACCGCAACAGTATCCATTTATGTGTACTCCAGAGCTTCATAAGAGCAGTATTTTGCTGGAATCTTTACAGGAACAGACAGCACGCACATGCCTCTTGCAAAGGGGGATCTATTCAATGCATAACCAATACAACTGCTGAAAGCATTTACGGATATAGCGTTGAAGTAAGTTCATAATTAGTCACGCCCTGACACCTCCATCTACACTAGTATTAGCACGATGTTCTGCCCCGTGACTGATGATGATGTAACTATTCGCTGGATACTGTTGGTTAGTAAAAGCTTTACCAATTGTATGATATCTCTGAAGGCGAAAGCAATGAAAGAATCTTGATTCTATCTGAGCGGCTGGACTGGTTGCAGCAATACACATGTATAATAGCTTGTTTGCCAATCTTCCTGAAAATCTGTGGCAAGCTTGATGGTCCTGATGACCATGGATGTTGCCAGATATTGTAGCTTCGAGCGCAGCAACTGCGAAGAATACGCCTGTGGGCCACCAAGTTCTCTATATCAGATGTTTTGTACTAGACTACAATTCTATAATTTGGTTCTTACGTGTAGCGTAGGTATGATCCTCTATTAGTAGTCGAGCAGCCACACTGATTCTAGCCGCCGTCTCTATTGGCCGGAGAGTCTACCCACTCAATATTCACCCCCGAAGAGAAAAGCCTTCTTTGTATGGTAGGGGTATGATTCGTGAGGATGAAGAGAGCAATGTCCAGTGATAGGCTCCTCGAAAGTAACAAAGCTGCGCCGGTCACTTACGTAGAAAGTATGGTCCTTAGCGTCGTTGATTCCAGCCAGCTAACTTAGTAATTCGGTTAAATTGAGATCGGACGCAGTGATGATCTTGTACGGATGCATGCCGGCCATGGGATTAGTGTGAAAATCATCGATCGTGAATGACTGAACGAAGTTCGTAGAATTGATAGAAGTGCCAATACCCATTGGTTCTATAGACGATGCCAGTGCTAGAGTGGCAACAGCAAGACTGTAGATAAAGGGCAGTAGCATTTTGTAAGTGTTACTCATGAGAGTGAAGGACTTAGATGCACGTGGTTGTTTATTTCATTTTTGAAGACCGTGGAGGGTAAGCAATATATAAATTTGGCTAATATCCCAAAAAATGTACATTAAAGAGGTTGAGCAGCGGATACTATGTTTAAGGAAAGTAACTGATACTTGTTTGCGTGACCAATTGATTCCCTGATACATGATCTAACATCGTGGTCCCCTTGATGACTCCTCTAGGTGCGGCGCAGGATTACGTCCACATGAGACACTTACTCCTCCATATGTTTACAGTTAAAACCCCTTTTACCATCGGAGGCTTTAGTTTCAATAGTCTTTGCTTTATAATAACTCATTAATCCTATATAGCTTCTCGGCAGCGGGATGTTTTATAAAAGATGCGGGAGATTTAAATATGTCATTATACAGGACGCTACATATAAGCATTGTATACTATGTGCAGGATATTCTCAAATCTTCGCGGAGCTTCACGCTGCAGTTGGTTACCATTCGATTTTTGATTATCATGCCATTTACCCAAGTGTTAGTACCTCAGTAGTGACGAGTGAAAGGTTAAGAGACCTTCCAAACATAATACAGATTTTGCTAAAGGGAAGTAGTAACCGCTATGTCAGAGGCAAGAAGCATAGGCTGTAATTTCTTTCTTATCCGTTAGGAAGACGTACCTGTCACTGACTTTTGGGTGCAAGGCCCGTCATACAACAGTATTCATATCTCACAGTTATCAATTCAGTCACAGTACAAGTCTGTTGTGGCATATAATCAGGAGCTTTATGACGATTTGGTCCCTTGTAACTGATTTATCCTTATAAGCCGCCGGTTACGTTATAATGAGTACTGCAATTGTGATCATTAGCCTAATTTGTTACCCTGTTTAGCGTAACGATATGACGGACCGCCACCAAGTCTTCGTTACATACCGTTATATATACTACTCTAGGAGCTTCTTGTCTAAGGAGAAAATTGTTTGCCCTGAACTTCATGTCCCGCTGGCTTATATCTTTTGTTCTGGATTATTTCTATGTACTGGAGATGAAGTTAGCACTCAGGAACAATGTGGATCACATTCACATGGATCGACTTACATAACCATCGGAGTCGAAGATAAAGGCGACCCGGAACGGCCCATCCATAAGACGCTTCTGCCGGGAGACACCCAATATGTCAAATCTTTCACAAGTGGCTGTGATGTCGTCCACAGAGACGCAAATGTGTCCAAAGCCTTCCGGGGCACTGTTACCGCTGTGATATACCTTGCTATCTTCATTCTCGGTCCCAAAATGCCAAGTCAGCTCCAACAAGCCTTCGTCTCGCGCGTACGAGGCGCCATCGGCATCGCGACTTTTTCCCTCGTTTTCATAGTTGCCGTAACCAAGAAAGTAAGAATTGAACCCGTCCTCAGCATGTTCAGTTGTATGTTTCAACGTCATGTCGAAGATCTCCTGGTAAAATTCGAGTGACTCGTCCTTGTCCTTAATGCGTAACATAAGGTAGTATTATGCACCTTATAAGTCTCCATGTCAGTGGTCGCCATATGATCGCTACGGCCTGGTGGAGTTTGAGCAATAATTTTCACCCAATACTCATCAGGATCCAATACAAATGCGCAGCCATTTTCGGGTTACTTTAGCAATCTGTACCCAGCATCGGCATGCCTCTCGCACGCAGCCGGTACCTTGTCCACAGATATACAAATATGGCCAAAGCCTTTTGGATCATCGTTTCCGTTATGTACACTTTTGATATCGTAACTGTAGCTCAGTTCCAGAACACCCTCACGGTCACTCATTTGTTTACCATGTGAAACAGATGTAGGGGAATCTTAAAGGCAATATATATACATTAGTAGGCCACTCAATGTTTTTACGCGAGCTGGGGTGAATAGGTAATTACCCTAGGCGAGGAAGTATAAGTCAAGTTTATATCCCGGAAAGTCGAATTGCTGTCGCATGCTCATGCCAATATGGTTGTAAGATTTGAGACTCGCCTCCGGGTTTTCGATTCATTTTAAAATAGAAAAGCTGGATCGTAAGAATGGAGGACAAACCCGTCACTCTCGGCATATAGTGATTGAGTTTGTATGAGCTTGTTTCCCCATTTTAAGTAAATTTCTTTCGATGTGATAGACTTCGGTGATCGAATTGATGATGAGTCTCTGGCAGAAGGGTAATACTATTAACAGGCGGTAGGTCATTCAGGTACGCCGTACTCCGTAGATGTATAACAATCGATGCTTTGGCTTTAGTCCTGCTGGCACTTGGTGTGGGGTTAGCTGGCTGGCAGATTGGTATGTATAGCGTGAGATTCCACTTTCTACACCCTGTACACCCTTTCCGCCATCCTAGGGCTATCCTTACCTCGATTTCCATTGGCTGGCGAGGAAATGGTGTTCTAGTTAAGTATATATTCCCGATTGGGTAAGTGGCTTCTGGAGAGCCTAGTTGGAGGAGAGACACCCATTGCGCCTGTTACGTACATGGGAAAACTACATTAACATGGCCACAGAACCTCGTGCACTTGATCCAACCCCTATGTATGTCACTTCTAACGAAAAAGGAACACATTAATTGCTCGTCCACTTGGCCAACCACTGGGCAATCACCGTGGTAGCACATCGTGCAGGACGTGCATTATGAATTCCACGACATATAGCATCCCATTGGCAATTGGGGCCATTCCGCCCTACCTCCAATTTGTCGCATTCGGATGTGTTCTCGCCGTGGGATACAACATCTGGTGGGCACTGGTATCGGAACGTCGTCTGCCTGGCTTCCCTGTTGCGACGTTGGAAGGACAAGGCCTTCCACCAAAGGAGAGCTACTTTAAAGATGCCAGTGGAACGATTGCAAGCGGATTGAAAGCGTATGCTGGCCCTTTTCAAATCATTACTGGTACTGGACCAAAAATTGTCCTGCCCAACAAATACGCAGACGAGCTGCGCAACCGACCGGAGTTAGATTTTAATGAAGCATTTCGCAAAGATTTTTTTGCCCATTATTCCGGATTTGATGGGTTCCGTGCCAGCCTGGACAACCCTACGCTGATTCCGTCCACTCTTAGAGTCAAGCTGACGCAAAGCTTGGGACTCGTGACGAATCACCTTGTCGATGAGGCGACCAGCGCGCTGCATCAACTCTACGGCGAAGATCGCGAGTGGCAATCCATTGCCGTAAAACAACACAATCTCAATCTGGTTGCACGCCTATCGTCACGAGTCTTCTTGGGAAGACCCATCTGTCGCAATGAGCAGTGGCTGGAAATTGCCAAGAATCACACAGGTTGATCGTGTGCCCCCCGCCGACATTGATGCTCCTTCTAACGACGTTGTAGTTGACTCATTTCTGGCTGCTCGAGATCTCCGGGCTCAACATTTCTTTATGCGTCCCATTATGCATTACTTCATGCCGCACAATAAGAATATACGTATGATTTTGCGCAAGACTTCTTCCATGCAGCCACTAACCTATATTTTCCAGAGAGACATTACACCGATGCCAAAAGAATCATCAGCACTGAGGTGGAGAGGAGAAAGATACGAGCTCAAATATTGCTGGAGGCTGGTGACAAACCGCCAAAGGTGTCGGATGCCATTGGATGGATGGTAGAGATGGCTGGTGGGAAAAAGGTCGATTACGTTGCTGCTCAGCTCTCGCTCACGGTTGCTTCTATCCATGCCACAACTGAAGCATTGACAATAGCATTGTTGGATCTTGTCAGCCATCCCGAAATCATTCCTCAGCTGCGCAAGGAGATCATTGAGGTCTTGGGAGACGCAGGTTGGTCAAAGCAGGCGCTGTACAAGATGAAGCTTATGGACAGCTTTTTGAAGGAATCTCAGCGCCTACATCCGGTGAGTTTTTGGTTGGACAGCAAAAAGGGAACTACTGGTTCATAGAATCCTGCTCGCTAATGCCTTCCTCTTATTAATAAAATCTAGCCCAGCGATGGTAAGTACATGTCCCGTATCGAAAACGTGAAAGGCAATCGCTAATACCTCTGTTAGTCTCGATGAACCGGAAAGTGATGCGTCGTTTGACACTTTCTGATGGAACTGTGCTTCCCAAGGGAGCCCGTCTGATGGTTGCCGCCAGGTTTCGAGACGCTGAAATCTATCCAGAACCAGATGCGTTTGACGCGACCCGTTTCCTTCGGCTGCTCAACAATACTTCTTCCAATAGCCCACACCATTACGTCTCCACATCTGCTGAGATGTTTGCTTTCGGTACGATACGTTGTCTCTTTACTGCCCCACAAAACCAAAGAGATAAGCTAATAATATGTTGTCTTTTATCTAGGCCACGGAAAGCATGCCTGCCCCGGACGATTCCTTGCGAGTGCAGAGCTTAAGATTGCACTTTCACACATGCTGCTAAAATATGACTGGAAACTCGACAAGTCAGACACAATGCCAAGATTCTTTGCAAATGAAACGGCGCACATGACGAATCCAGGATTGAAGCTCATGGTCAGGAGGCGAACCGAGGAGATTAACCTTGATCTAGACGTGGATCCGGATTTGATTGATGTAGAAGACTAGACCAGGCCCATTGCTTAGGTGGGAAGGAACGTAGCAACAAATTGAATTATGATCATACCCATGAATATCATGTGACTATGATAAGGTTCTTGTGAGTGGCATACAGTATGTCTCTTGTCAATTTAGTTATTACCAATGAATATAGACCATCGGCAAGCTTATCTTTGTAATGTATCTGCGGGTTACCCTTTAAGTTGGGCTAGTGGTTAGTAAGATAGCTACACCCCCCCCATCTAGGACAGGCGCTTTTTCCTGTTTTCTATTTACTCTAATAATAACACTAAGGTATACCTTATATTTTTTATCTACTATAACTATTTTTTTAGTTTTGTAGTTTATTATATAAAAATACTTAATTATATTAAAAATAAAAATTTTCTGTAAAGTATCCTTCCTCAGTTATTAAGTAACTAATTTAACTATTTACACTTAGCACAAACGTAATATAGCAAAATAACATAAGTATCATAGTGTTAAAGTACTTATTGTAAAAGTACTAAAATACATTACCAAATATTATAATTTGTTATAAAAAATAAAATAATTTAGTTAATAAATACTATAATTTAGTAAATAAAGGCTATAGTATAGTAAATAAGTGGTATAGTTTAACCCAAAAAAAATTGTAATTTAGCTAATAAATGCTGTAATTTAGCTAATGAGTGTTGTAACTTATCAAATAGGCACTATAATTAAAAAGATAAGCGCTGTAATTTAGTGAATAAGCCTTATAATAAGGTATGTATTGACTTAGTAGTGTAGCGGTATATATTACTACAAGACCCTGTGTTGAGTGGGATAATTTAGATACTTTATACCCTAGGATAAATATTTAATAAAAGATCCCTAAAATTATTAGTTATTTAGCTATATAAAATATTAAAAATATCATGCTTTTATAAAAAACCATACAATACTAAGCTATTAATTAATTAATATAATATAGCTGTTTATATATTTATATACAATACGGAGTAAAAGTAAATAAATATAATTGAGAATTTTTACTATAGTAATATACTTAACCTAAGCTTTAAATATATTATGTTTATTAACTTTAACTTAAGATAACAGGCTTTACTTTAAATAAAGTAATTGAAATAGTTATTTTATCATAGGTTATTTCAGCTTACTTAATTTACGTATGTTAGCAGTTTACTAATTAAGTTACTATCTATATAAAATTAATAAATAAGCACTATACTAGTACCATTAGCACCCTGCTGGCACCAGTGATACAGTGCAAGCACAGTGTCGCCCCACCTCAATCTGTAACTGCAACTTTCGGACCCAAGGTTAGGCTCCGTCGCAAGAATGTTAGGGGGCCTGTTATAGCATACTTGGGACCACATAATCTTATTCTATTTCTCCTCCTAACCCACAATAACAAAGAGATTAACGCAACAACTTTACAGGCCGAACAAAGCACTGCTGCGGAACATGCGTCATCTTATCAATAGCTGCATTGGTGCTGAGTGCTTCGGGGCATTTATGAAGATGAAAGTTCCACACAATCATAGTGATCAATAACTTCATCTCCACGTAGGCCATCCTGCGCCCATAGCACCCGCGCTCTCCGAGTCCAAACGTAAGAAGCGGCCCAGCCGAGGGGTCAAATACCTTTTGTCCTGTGGCCTTGTCCTCGACCATCCATCTCTCAGGATCAAATTCGGCCATACCCTTGTGCTTCCAAACGCCGATTTTATCCTTTGACTCAATGCCAGATGGCGTTCGTAGCGAGTCGTCAATTTCAAACTCGGGAGAAAAGATGCTCGGCCCGTTACCCATGAGAAAAACCTCTGTGCCCTTCGGAATGCGATATCCTAGTACATCGGCGTCGACCATAGCAGTGCGGATACCGCCATACTCGGTATTAGAGCATCGAAGAATTTCTTCAATCACAGCATCCCTGTAATGTACCGTCGTAGTGTTGATTTCTTGGAATGTAGGCAGTCTCTTTTCGGCTACTGCTTCGGCGTGATGAGCATGAAGCTCGTCTCGGAGTTTGCTTTGCACGTCTTGGAAATCACTCAGATTCTTAAGTCCCCATGTAATGGCTGTTGCAGTTGTGTCGTGGCCGCCCATAATAAATCCGAGAATCTAGGGACTCTTAGTTAGCTGGCAACCCTAGTGACTATCGTTATGAAGCATCTCAAGCACTCATACCTCGTCAGACATTCCTGAAGATAGAACTTCTGGTTCTCTCTTTTCTTTTTCAGCCAATAGCATCTCTCTTTGGATCATGTCGTCAATGGCGCAAGTGATGAGCTTTTCGTTTGCCTTCTTACCAGTAACTCTGTTAAGAGCTTTTTGTATCTCCTCTTGTAAGAACACATCTTTATCCTTGTACGCTTTTTTCATCGTAGCTGTTTGCCTCAGCCTCCAATGTGCAAGTTTAGGTACTGGAGACTTGATGCTGGTGGATACACTGTCCGTGAGCGTGAGAACAGACTGTACTGCGGCGGGGAAGGGTGCTGCTGGCAGCTCTGCTTCGGTATCCAAATCATTGTTCAGCTCAATTGACTTGATGGTGGCGTAGAGCCTTAGCTGTGCCTTTGTTACGTTGTTGTCTGGGTCTGCCCCAAACACAATGGCCCAGATTGCATCCATGGCTGTGCGATATATGTCTTCGGCAGCTGTAAACGGGTGACCTTTGGCGATTCTAGATTTCTGCTCCCAGAGCTGCAAGAGATCTAACCCAGCCTCGTAGATGCGTGGCGCGGCTGTGTCATGCAGAAAACCTAAGCCCATAAGACCTTGAATCCATCTGCGGTGTTTTCTAAAACCGGCATCCGTTCTCATGCTGAAATGGCTGCTTGGTGTAATTTTTCCAGAAATCTCACTAAAGAAAATAGACCTGTCGAACTCCTTTGTGCGCCGCACCATAATGTCCTGCGTTTCTCGAAAGTCTGCGATAACTACCCATGGCTTTCCAAAGGGACGGACGAAGAGTTGAATAATTGGTGATTTTAGCTTAACATTCTGTTGTACCATCCAGTCGAACATTTCCTGAGTCTTGCTCGTGTGCGCAACCATCGATGAGGCATCTCCAAAGATAGAGTTCACCGATTCTTTATTGTATGGTATGCCGGGAATCGGTTTCGGAAGCGCCCATCGATAGAATAGGACGAGAGAAACGACAACGCCGCCAGCTAGCAAGACTGCATTTTGGGGGCTCGACCCGGACAGAGAAAGTGCCAAGTCCATAGCCGTTGTGTTTGGATATTGCGACACGATTTGGTTCTCTCGAGTTGGGGTTGGCAACCATGGATCTGGCAGCGATCCCAGTTGAAATCGGCGTCGCAATAAGGAGTGAGAGTCAAAAATATCGAGAATCAGTCCTACATCAATTTACTTCTGGCTACACGTAGGTTTATTCAATATCATAAGGTGCTCTGTACAATAATATCCTACTGCATCCTGTGCACCCTCTACACCTTCTACACCTTCTACACCCTCTGTGCACCTTCGGCACCTCGGCGTTTTACTGATCCGATCGCACCAGCAATAAAGAGTAAAAGGAAGAGAAACATATACCAAAATTATAAGGCTAATTAAAATAGTTAAATATATATATGTAAATATATATATATATATATTAATACTTTATTTAGTACTATATAGTTTTAAATTTATTTTAATGTATACAGTTAATGCTAATATATATTTAAATTTTAATTTAGGTATTAATAAATTAATTTATCTTAACTATAGGAAATTTAAAAATATATTTTATTATATAAAAAATATAATAAATAACTTAATAAATAAACCTTATTTATTAATTATTATAATTTAGCTACTATAATTATAATAATAAGCTTTTTAAACAAAATTATTAAAACGCAGTTTAAATTAATACATTACTAATATATAATTTATTTACTTTGTTTAATAAATTAAATAAATATACAATAAATTAACTAATAGTTTTGTTTTTTATATAAAGCAAAATAGTTTAGTTAATATACAAATTATAATGTTAATTATATAAAAGTATTTATTACATTTTTTATTGTTATATTTTTATTTATTAAACATTATATAATTAATATAATACAATAAATTATATACTATATTACATTGTTAAAGTATTATACAAATACTTAATAAAAGAAGTCCAGAATTAAATTAAATAAATAATATTACAAAGTGTAAAAATTTAAGGAGGTTTAATATATTTATTGTAAATATATTTAAATTACCATGGTATATAATTTAGACGTAACTCCTATGTTTACTTTTTATAACATAGCAAACATAAATTACAAGTTCATTATAATCCATTTATTAATACTCATATATTTAGCAAGAGTGAATTTATTTATTTTTATAAACAGAGATTTTTAAATTAGAATGCCATGCGACCTTAGTCCACTCGATCACCAGCGAGCACAGCATTTACAGCATTAGATTTGGTCAGTATGACCTCCCAGCTGAACTTTTCAAATCCAGGTCTGTTGCGCACTTCCATGTCAAGTTCAAAATCGGGCTGCGAAATTTGCGTTGCAGGGTTGCTATTGGCAGTAGTAGGAAGGACCCAGTCGCCACCACCGACGGGACGCATCTGGTAGCGAGAGATGAAGAGGCCAACAACAGCGAGAATCTCATTCGTAGCAAAGAATCTTCCTGGGCACAGATGCTTACCGCCGCCAAAGCTTCGGTATCCGCTGTCGTCGGGGATCTTCTTGCCTGATTTGGGATCCCTTACAAATCTCCGAGGATCAAAGTCAGTGGCTGATTGGCCCCAGTGATCTTGATTGCTGTGAATGGACGGGAGAGGAATCTGCACCATGGAGCCCTTCTTTAGCAGATAACCGCCGAGATCTGTGTCCTGAACTACAACTCGCACAGCTGTTCCCATGGCACGGTAGCGGAGACTCTCTTTGAAGGTGGAGAGAAGAAGAGGGCAATTATTCTTGACCGTGGTAATGTCGATAGTGACCTTGTTGTTCTCCTTATCAATGACGAGCGCCGCATCTACTTCTTTCCGGATATCCTCAAGTAAACCGGGGACGGCGTGGACCAGCAACAGCATCCAATAGCAAGAAGGAAGGGTGTTGACCAAGATTGCAATGGTACCGCCAATTTCAAAGCGGCCAATATCTGCAAGCGGCACGTTGTTTTTGACAGAATAATCGAATCTTGCCTTTGCTAAGCCAGATCCCTTTTCATGGTAACCATTGGCAAAGTAATCTCCCAAAACCTTTGTGACTTTGTCGCGAGCTTGAATTGAATCCTTAGCGGTGATTTCTGGGAATGGAGACACGAGCATCTTCATGATACCCTTTTCAAACTCCCAAAACGCATCTTTGATATCCTGTCTCTTATAAGGGTTCATAGGACCGTAAACGGAGTTAGTCGTTGCCATTGTTACAACCTCGGCGACCCATGATGACAGTTTGATAACACGAAATTCTTTTCCTGCCTCTGGCTTGGTATCCTCGAGCAAGCGGCACACTTCAGTAGCCATGGTCCTGTTCATGATGTCAAGGTTCTCGCCAGGTTTCAGCGACTCCCGCATACCGACAACCATATCTTCACACAAGCCCCAGTTGCCGTGCTCGCCCAAAAGGTTCTGGTTGAGGATCTCGGTCGCCTCTTTGCTGGTGCCACAGGTGACGCTGCTGAACTCGGAGATGATGGGGGCAAAGGAGAAGGCCTTGTTTTGCTTATCAATCTTGCTGATAAGTTCAGGCTTAGTGACGACATAGATCTTTCGGCCAGGCATGCAAATGGTGAATATCGGAAGCTTGAGCTTCTTGTTGAGCTTCTCATAATAGCCGAAGCTGTTGCGCATGAAACCAAACACATGTCCAAATACGGGGATGCTGGTAGGCGCGAGCGGAGGCTCACGGCCATCATATGAGGGTAACAGCCATTTGTTTATAGCTACTAGTAATATTGTTACGCCCAAAGCCGCGAGAGTGAAACCGTTCAGGTTCTCTGCAGTGGTTTTCAAGCTTTTCAGCTTCTCCGTCACAACATCAAGGTGCTCCATTTTGAAGAGCAGACTTTGAAGTCTTTGGAGAAGCAGTGGGAAAAGCTGGTAATGGAGACGTACAAAATTTGTAGGGTTGAGCAGCAGCCTGCCACGCAATTGAAGAAGGGACTCTTATACAATAATAAGAAAAGGGTGAATGAGTGCGGGCTGTTTGACGGGGAAGGAAAATTAAGCAGGGCATAGCACATCTGCCACTTTATAGACCTGTAATTGCATTTCGCTGTGGGAAGAGATAGGAGCCTGCATGATGTCTGGTATCTTCATATCATTTGCATTACGCTAATTAATCTAGCCCTCTCTAGGTAGTACCTGGGTAGAAGTTTGGGACAAGCCCCAGGCCCTGCTGGCGTCCAACTATGACGATAAAAGCGAGTACAAGGGATGTGTAGCTAGCACATCTGGAGAACTAGAAGGTAATCACGATGTGACATGGTTGTGTGCTTACATGCGTGCTGGCTTGGAAACGGGTGCCCCATACCTGGGGTGCGCAGGGTGCTGTTGGAGGTGAGTGTGGTCCTGGTTGCTGACAGGCCAAGGGGGACAGGAAAAGGCGTGAGCCCTAGTCTATCTGATGTCAACGGACCCCCCCCCCCCCAAAAAAAAAAAAAAAAAAGGGTTCTGTATATTCTACTCGCATGTTTCTAGCGTTTGACAAATATCAAGGCAATAGATGGAGCCTCTGTAATAGTTTTTACTTGGAATATTTTGAATTCTTAGGGTTGTAAAATGGAATGTGTCGCGAATTTTCCTCACGCCTGCGTGCTGAACCTCGTTTCTTTATTCGTTAATGCTTTTATTCTTTTTTTCGTTTCCTTATCAAGCTGAAGAAAACGAAATGAATTAAGTTTGTTATTCGTTAATTAATTTTGAATACTAATAAATAATAAATAACAAAGCGAACTGTTCCGAAGTTCATTATTTAATACTGCGCTATTCCTAATAGAGCTCGCTTATATCAAATAATAAATTTAAAATATTAAAATTTAGCTATTTTAAGTAATTTGTTTAATCAAATTTATTATATATTAAATAATGTAAAATTCCTTCGCTTTTTTATTCAGCTAAAGCAATCGAATTAAACTAACTGTTCGTTAACAAATACCTGCTAACGAACTTAGCAACCTTGCATTAGGCAATGTTCTTAGCCGATAGTTATTTAGAACATGCATGGAGGGTGGGAATTTTCGGCCTTTTTACACATAGTAACATAAAAATATTATGTCTGACCCCTGTTATTATAGCATTTTAGCAAGCCTATATTGCTTAGCATGCCTGGCATACTTAGCTTAACACTTTGGTACTTCCTCATAATTGCCCCCCAGTCTGTCAGCAAGGATGTTAGGTATCTGTACTGCCTAAAAAAGCCTAAATTAGCAGGTATACTAAGAAAGGTTGGCTTTGAGTTTGTGTAACTGATACTGATATAGTTCGCTGTAGCAAAGGTCAGGTTTAATGTACTTGATAATTACTCGGTTTCAAACCCTCCGTTCATTTTCTTTTCTTATCTGGCTGGCAGTGGTACTCCCCACAACTCTCTTACGAATCTCACTTTGCTCCTCTTAACTTCACTACACACTTATAAGTTGGCTATCCCAGAGCCTTTATTTTATCCTACACCCTTGACACCCTCCACACACTCTCCACACACTTTTTATACATTCTCATACTTGCAACCCTTCTATCCCGTTATACCTTCAACTTCTATTACACTCTTTTTTTTCTATTCTTTTTTAGCGTATAGGGCAGCAGCTTTGGTTTGGCGCCAAAGCGCAGATCAAAAGAAGATAATTATACGCCGTAAAATCTGATCGCTGGTTAGCGCTGCCAGCTTGCAGCCACCACACATTCCCTAGATCATACCAAAGCCCACCATGTCCACCTCACGTATGCTAGAAGAAGGAAAAGCGAGGATAGACGAAGCATTGCAAAAAGGTTACGCACCATCACATTTCGCCCACAATCTGGAACTCATCATGGTCGAGGATAACCGAAGTTCTGCCTCACTATCCATGCGTTCTAAGATTGCTAGCACACGAGAGCGCGCGGCAGCATTGCGCACCCTTAATCCGTTGACTCTGGTGTGGTGGGCCATTGCTTTCCCCATGAGGCAATGGTCTGGTGGTAGGAAAATGAGTACATTTGCTTTTGACTCGCTTCTTCGAATGGTATGCAGCGAAACGATATTCGCATATGAGCTCCTCCCGATAGTAAGGGATGATCTCTACGGCTTGCGGTTGAAATATCCTCTCTGCGAGGTATTGCAGAATTTCCTGAATTGTAGGTTATGCTATGGTCTAAAATCCCGTCTTTGAGTTTTAGGGGACTATTACCTAACATGGATATCCTTCAGCGCCTATATTCTGCCCTACCTATCTACCCAGCCCTATTAGTGACAATACGATACTGCTGGAGGCTGAACCTGGTAAGAAACACTCCACCCGCTTATGGCTTGTCCTTTTTGATAGAGTTAGCCCTGACCTGGCAATTTTTTGTCTACAGTCTGTAACCCTACGCAGACCATTATGCATGATATGATGCATAGCGTTGTGCCTGGCTCACCTGTGCTGGGGTTTTCCAATCCGGACGAGTACATTCAGCTCACTGGCGTCAGGCAAAACAGTCTAGACAAACTGCCTGACCTCCTACGAAGCGGTTTGAAGGAATCTCGCAGATTTCAAATGGACAAGCATAACCAGTCCACGATATGCACCGCTATTGACATATTTGTACCCACGGATCCTGTCAACCAAGACGCATATGCTGTTATACCAATCGGCTCCACCGACGTATGGAACATACTACAAGAACTTGGTATAGTTGAATAATGGCAACAGCACTTCAAGTGATGTTTTTGTCACTTGTTCATTTATAATTTTTTTTTATTGTGGTGTATGCAATTTTAGCAAACAAGACGTTATATATACAGATATATATTAGATGGACTTCACCTGGACTTGTCCCAGATAGAACACGGAAACCATGAGTATTTTAAATAAAAACTATTATAAATGCAGTCTAAGCTACGCAGCCAATCCAGTGGGACAGCTACCCTTACTCTATGGTATACTACCAGAGGAATCACTTTAGGATGAATTATAAAAGGACATAGTAAGGATAGTATATATATAAAATATATATATATATATATATATATATATATAAGGTTACTACTACTATTTAGTTTGAATTTAGAGTTTTAGTAATTAATTAAAGTATTTTACAGAAATTTAAAAAATCTTAATTTATTTAGTAAAATACTATATAAATTAGTTTTAAGCAGTAAGTCTTTTATTTTATAAATTCATAAACTTAAAAATTATTATTTTTTACTATTTATTATATAATAAAATAATAATTTAATAAAAGATTATATAAGAAATATGAATAAAATATTTTTAACTAAATATAGTAATATTTATAAAAGTTAAATTTAATATAAAAATAAAAAAATTAATATTATAATAATAAGTTTATTTAAAAATTATATTTTAGTTTTTAATTTAAAATTTAAAATTAATTTATAACTTAATTTAAATAATAATAGTTAATTAAATTAAATTATAAAAATTTAAGTTATATTATTAATAAAAATATAAAAAATATAATTATTTATTAAAATTTAAAATTATATTTAAAATATATATATTAAAAAGCTTAAATAATAAAATTTAAATATAATATAATAAACTTTAAATTATAATTTAATAATTTAATTAATAAACGAAAATTATTATATAAATATATTAAATTATAAAAAATAATAATAATTTTATTTAAACATAAATTTTATATTTAAATAACTTAATAAAATTAAATAATTATTTTTTTATTTATAAAGTTTTTTTTATATTTTAGTAGTTTATTATTATATTTTATATATAAAGTTAATTAATAACTTATATAATAGTTATAAAATAATTATAATTATAAAATAATTAAATAAATAATTAAATTTATAATTAATAAAATTATAAATTTATAATTAAAAGTTTCTAAAAAGAAATACTTAAAGTTAAAAAAAACTAAATATAAACTAAATTAACTAAAAAATATTAAAAACCTTATATTAAGTAAAGTAATTAAAAAGGTTATTAAAGAAGTTATTAAAGAAATTAAATAAAAATTATAAAATAAATTTATTTTAATATTAGTTATATTAAATAGTTTAATTTTTATATTTTAAAAAGAAAATAATATTTATAAAAATAAAAAATTATATATTAATTATAATAAACTTAAATATAATAATAATAATATATAAAGTTTATATAAGTAAAGTTAATATATATATATAAAAGTAAAAATATATAAATAATAAAAGTATTTAATTATTTAATAAATTTTTAATAATATATTTAAATTGTTTTTATTTAAATATAAAATTTAACTATAATTTATTAAAATATATAATTATTATATTATATTATATATTATATAAATTCTTTATTTTTTATTATAATATTACTATTTTTTATAAATTTATAAAATTAATAAATTTTATTTTAATTTAATTTATTATTAAAAATATTATTTTATTTATATAGTAAATTATATATATATATATATATCCATAACATAATTCATACTTCTATAATAATTTAAATTAATCAAAGTATATATTATAGTAAAAATATATATAAAAATTATTAATAATAATATTGTTTTTTTTTAATTTTATATTAATATATATTATTAATATTATAAAAATTATGTTATTTTTATAAATATAATAATATAAATTTAAATTAAAAAAAATAATTATAATATATATATGTATTTTATTAACTTTATTTAAATAGTTAAAATATAAAATTGTTAATAAATAATTAAAATTAATTATAAAAGTTAAATTTAATATTAAAATAAAAAGTTTAATATTATAATAATTAATTTAATAAAAGGTTATATTTTAGCTTTTAGTTTAAAATTTAAAATTAATTTATAATTTAATTTAATTAATAATAATTAATTAAACTAAGTAATAAAAGTTTAAATTATATTATTAATAAAAATATAAAAAATATAACTATTTATTAAAGTTTAAAATTAAACTTAAAATATATATATAAAAAAACTTAAATAATAAAGTTTAAATATAATATAATAAACTTTAAATTATAGTTTAATAACTTAATTAATATAAAATAACTATTATATTAATTTATTAAACTATAAAAAACAGTAATAATCTTTAAAAATAAATTTTATATTTTAAATAACTTAATAAAATTAAATAATTTAATTAAGTTTTTTTTTAATAATAACTCTAAGTATAAAATAATTAAATAAATAACTAAACCTATAATTAATAAAATTATAAATGTATAATTAAAAGTTTCTAAAAAAATAATTAAAGTTAAGTAAAAATAAATATAAACTAAATTAATTAAAAAGTATTAAAAACCTTAAGTTAAATAAAATAATTAAAAAGATTATTAAAATAATTAATAAAACAGTTAAATAAAAGTAAAATAATTTTTTTTTAA